GCGGCGGCCGGACACATCGAATTTTCGGCGCGGGCTAGTCCGGCCGTACCGCGGCCCGCCAAAGAGACTCCGCATTACGACCCGACTTCTCGTGCATTTCCTATGTGTCACCTTTGCATGGACGGAAAATTTCATATGTATGTCTAACCAGCGTCCTGAATCATGCACTCAGGTTGTATGCAAGATGCAACACGGAATGTCGAGGAGATCATCATGCTGATGCCATTCATTGCCGCCAGCAGAGTGACCCGGAACAGCTTGATGGCTTATGCAACAATCAGGCCCGCGATATGGAAACAGCCTTTGAAAACGGACAACACAGAGGCTCAAATCTAAATAAGCATTGCCATGCTAACTTATTAAGCGCGTAACAGGTGAGACCGTCGCTTTGTCAGAGCAGGCAGTTGAACAGTTAGAATTTGATTGACGTTATCTCATTGTTTGTGACATCATGTGCATCTTCTATGTGCGTTTGAAAGACAATGTTTCAGTATCGTGATATGATGTGCAGTTCGAAAAGTGCGACCTTCTGCCTCAAGACGACAATTAGGCCAGCTTTTAGGCATATGCTTGAACAGCCCGGTCAAAGCTTTCTTCCCTCAACTGCAATTTTTTAACCAAGACGTGAGATGGCGCTGCCGTCTTCAGTTGGCTGCAAAACAAATGGCCGTTGTTCAAGATTTCAGATCAAGAACCACTTTCAATCAGAACGAGTCTAAATGCACATGGAACGCTTAGTACATATGAAACCACCTGATCACGTGAAAGGGTCGGTTTACTCGCACCATGCACGCGTTGTCAAAGACAATGTCGAACCTCAAATAAGGGACATGAAAATTGATTGACAAACTAGAAAAGAACTTACCTTAGGTATTTCGTGGCAGGCTTGCCAAGGTGAAGTTCGACGACCACCAGGTTAGCCAAGGTGTCAGCATCTTTCGGATCCTGCAAGATCGAACTCGATCAGTAGCGAGCAAGGAAAAGATGTGAATCTCTGAAACGGTGAGGACTTGTGCACTACAGCCGGAAGTTGGCGAGGTAAAGAAGGACGTGAATGCGAAGCAGCGACCACAGGCAACATACATGCTGCGCATACATAAAGATCACGCTCCTGCACTCCTTTTTACATACAATTGCTTTGCTCATTTGAACCTTTGGCAGCAGAACTGCGACAGATGCTGCAGGAACTTCGTACCTTCTGCAGGGCCTCTTGGAGCAAGCTCTCAGCTTCCTCGAAGTTCCCCTTGTGGATGTTGCACACAGCAGAGCCGTTCAGGAGGTATGAGGTCTGGAGGAACTTTTCGGACAGCTCCTGGTAGATGTAGTAGGCATCCTGGATCTTCGAACCACCCTGCAAAAAAGTCAACCATACGCCTTTAGTCCAATCGTGCAGGAGTGAAGGAATACGCTGTGCCACTGGTCAAAGTTTTCTGACCAACGGTCTCGGTAACAAACATATCGAACAATCCGGGATGAGTCTCGTTGTGGGGCTGCAGCAGATTTATGAGCTCAAATCACAGATGCGAAAAAGCTCACTCGTGTGGCATCCCATGGAATAGGCTCGTTGATCGTTTCCAGTTTCGGACACCCTGGTCCGGCCGTCCGCCACGAAACAATTCCGACCAGAACGTTGAAACCTTAACACTCCTTGGATGGAAACTAATCTTACCAATAGGGGTGTGCCCTCTCGAAGCGGGCAACCAAAGCCTGACTTTGATTGTCAACCCTCAATCTCTGACACTTGCCGATTCAAAGAAAAGATTAGCAGGTGACTCCTCTGACACCAGAGCTTTTAAGGGCTGAATAGCGAAGTCCCAAAGTGCTCACAGGAGTCAGCAGCATTAATCAAGTCGAGTTTGCACTTCAAAGTGGATCACGGACAATCCTCAAAACGTGGCTGTTTACCAGGCCCAGGTCAACCCATGCGTTTGCCAGCTGCGTTAGGGTGTGATCTTCGTCAATAGCCTGCATGGCCTTCATCTGCTTCTCAGCGGCGTCGGGCCGGTCCATTTTCAGATACATTTGCACGTTGAGAGCCTGCCTGCAAATCCGAAGGTCCTCACGTGTTGGGTTCCGGCATACTAATGTTGCCTTGCATCAAGCATTAGAAAAAAAAGCATTGCGGCTCCCATCAAGACAGTTGAACGTGTGGCCAAATGCAACAAGCCATCTCTTAGACATCAAGGAGCTCTTCCCTGCACTTTTATGAGCGGCTGTGTGCGGACACCAAGCTTCTCAGCGTGACCTCCACGCAGTACAACTGTTATGTGACTAATCCATGTATGGAACATTGTTAGAACTTCAAAGCTTCTGAAAAGGAACCACTCACACTTCCAGGTTGGTAGACGCATGTGTGAACTTTAGGGCGTCAGCATAGTTGCCTTCATGGCTCAGGATCGATGCGGCAGCTAAGATCAGTGTTATGTTGTTCGCGGTGGCAGGATCTGAAAGCAGGTCCTGAATGGCCTCCACAGCCTCCTCCTGCAACAAGGGGATCCCATAATTTGGCAGTCTGACCACCTGTTGGATTGTTCAAACTGAACCAGAGGACAGCCTACGCGGTGGTTCTGATGTGACTCTCATTATGCAGAAATGTTGAGGAGGTTACTCTCAAAGCAAGATTGAAATGCAGACTATGGGGCATCAAAGACCAGTTGCTGAATTGCTACTTGATGCTGGTGCACATTGTGTCAAACTCGCCATATTATCCCAGATAGTAATCTTTGCAAAGCTCTCCTACCTTCTTTGTTGGATCAGAGAGGTAGAGAGCGAGCAGCCGCAGGGCTTGAAACGCTGTTGGTGAGGACGGCTTGATGGAGTCCAGAACAACCTGATTGCAGCAGAGCAAAGCAAGAAATAGGGTTCACCATGTGACTCAGCAGCTGACCTGTTTTGCTTCTTTTTCCCGTGACTGATGACACTTGACGGTGAAGCGGAACTCTCATAACTAACGATGGGAGCGCAATTCTGTTCATCATCAGTCACAGATAGGTGACCAATCAATGCTGGAACTCAACAGTGGGGACTACTCAAGTGAAGACTAGATTTGCACCCAGCTTAGGCACTTACTACTTGCGACCAGAATGCAATCACCAAAAGCAAGAGCCTGCAAGTATGCGGGCAGATCGCACTGTAATGCGGCAAGACAATGTGCCTACTTGGGCAAAAGCAGACTGCTTATCGGACGCCATCGAAAGACCATCAAAGAGACTCACTTGATGGTTTCCCAGGGCTATATTTGAACGGTGCAAAATTGTGTCACGCTCAAGGACCTCTGACTCAGTCAAACCCTCGATCTCATGGTCGTCAACAAGGGCTTGATAGGCTCCCAGATAGAAGTTGTTCCTGAAACCATACAAGCGGTCGGATTCGCTCATTTTGGAAGCTTGGCGCTAGCGTCAGGTTTTCAACTGAAAAGAAGGGCAAATCAATCAAAGCTGGGCTGCAAAATTCGCTCCAGCCTTCTTGGCTATCCAAGCCTCTTGAAGTTGCAAAGCACGTCGGAGGATCTATGGATAGACTAAAGTGCCTGTTCAAGCGCCTTGTCCGAATTGCCGCCCTCCTCACTGCTCAGCCTTGCAAGTTGCATTGATCTTTGACACATGACTCATAGCAAAGCTGGCACTGCTCTGCTCTGCTCTGCTCTTGAAGTTGAACTTGAAGTTGAAGTTGAGGTCTGGACAGATTTCGGCCAGCTACAGCATTGGGTGGTTACCAATAACCCTGACATTTAAGGTGGCCGAGCCTCAAGGCTTTCCAGCTCGGTTCAATTCCGGGTTGAGAATCACACCGCCTGGCCTTGTTTCAAATTAGCTCGGATGTGCAAGCTGGGCATGATGCATGGCGAGAACGAGGTGGTGGGACATACCAGACACTACATCTCATTCCCTGGGCGCTAGAATATAGAAAATCATGGAGACTCTTGGGGAAGCAGAACCTCCTCGGCTGTGAGCGGGATGCGGGGCTGAAAGAAGCTACGTTGACGAGATAGGTCAGGTGCCATGGGTCTGGCGCGGTTTGACGACGGCGGCCACGATGGGGCAGAAGCTGGCTACTCCTTGGAAAAGTTCAACCTCTACGAGACCCGTGCTGTGAGGGATGCACTGCCTCTCAAACCTTTTATTCTTCGATCTTTTCTTATGACTTATGCACCTTCAGGTCTCTGACAAGTGTGATATTCATCTATGATCACAGCGTCACCCATGCAATCAGCTCATGTTTCAAAAATTCTCTTTTTATATGCATTCTCATTTGAACCGCTGAGCAAGTCTGTCTTAACCACCCAATATTCCTGTCGCAGCGGTACTACCTGGTCGGGTGGAGCAAAGACCGGCAGCATTGGCGCATTTTGAAGATTGATCGGTCTGAGCCTGAGGACCTGAGTCTCTCTGAGGATCCTGCGGTGTACTCTCAGGCAGAGTGCAAGTCTGTTCTTCAAACAGTTGCGGAGGGGAACAGGTCAACGGGGGGCCTTCAACTGGTGACAAAAGCCTATGGAGTGGTTGGTGAGCAATCAAACTGATACAGCCAGCTTCGGAACAGGAAACCAATCTGAGCTGGCACTTTCCTTTAGTTTTCGAGGTGTCAAGCAGTGCCTCTTGTGTGTCAAGATGTATCCTGGTGAGGGGGCCTGAAGCGCATCTCACATTATCTCAAAGCCCATTTTGCGTCAACTTTAGATTCAGTTTTTGTCACCTTATTGAGATTGCTGAGTGAATGTCCGTAGAAGTAATCTGTGCAACAATTGGCTGTGCATGTCTACAACGCTCTTGGAATCCAAATATGTCATTCAATGCTCTCTCCTTGTGGTAGCCTTGACAACAAAATCCAGTCATCAGAACTTAAAACTTGCCTTCGCAAGTCCCTTACAATTTTATTTTGTGCAGGCTTCATCAGGTTCCTGGAATGTTACTACATGATCCTGGTCACCAGACGACGGCAGGTGGGGACCATCTGTGGGCATGCCGTGTACTCCATTGAAGACACGGCCCTTATCACTGTGCCCCATCCCTCGGTGCAACGAGACTCACCGCATTCGAAGCTTGAGCTCAGGTGGGTCACACACTTCTGACAGCACGGTTTTGCCAGAGTGACGTCCTCAGAGCTCTTATATTTCTCCAAACTTCGCTGCTGTCTTCATGGAATTGGTGCAAGGAACAACCTGGACAGCGTGCAAGTAGCCGTTTCTGTTGGCAGGGGCCACCAGGAGTAATCAGTGCCAGGAAGGCTGTCCAACACACAAGTTTTGAGCCACTGCAATCCGATAGACTCTGTGGAAAACTTAAATTGCTTCCCTGCCGTCCATTCAATTTGAAAAAAGACGTTCTGGTCGATTTACATGCCATCAGCCGTTTGATTTCTGCCACGAGAAGATTCTCGAAGTGGACACTTTGGGCCCAGGTTAGAACAGCACAACCTGATTTGTCTCCAGGATTTGGAGCTCAGTCCCAACGACAGGCTTTTGGAATGTACTGACTGAGTTCTGGAACCCACTTCTGGTCACGCATCAATACATGACTCAGTGAGCGATTGTAGTCCAAAACAATTACTTCGTGATCAAGAGACTATTGTCAACAATATGACCAAAAGAAATTCGCAAGTCAGGAACTGGCACCTCAAAGCGACGTCATTCGTTGCCCTAGTTCGTGATTCCGACTAACTTGTGAATCTCGTGAGGCGGCTTCTCTTTCGGTACAAGAAGTTTGCTGGTGGAGATCCTCGCCATGAAGATGACCTGGACCTTGCATCCAATCTGTCTTAAGTACGGAGCTCCGTACCGTTACTGATCCTGATAAAGTTCAAAATCTCAGAGTCTTGAGTATCTGTAACCCGATATGTCCAGGTACAAGAAGCTGCTGTCAGGCGTGGACCTGACCAAGGATTTCTTCTTCAGCTACACGTACCGCCTGATGCAGACTTTTCAGCGCAACGCGCTCTACCCGGGCCAGGGCTCCGGCGCCGTCGACACTATGTTCGTGTGGAACGCTTTTCTGACACGTGGCATCCAGGAGCGTCTGGGCAACACCCGCTGGACGGTCCCGCTCGTTCACGGCTACTTCTCGCAGGCGCGCTTGTCGCTCTTCGGGTGAGGGCCGATGTTCGGTGCGAGCTGCCCGTTCCAACACACCGGATTCGCATTGCTCGAAGACACTGAGCTCGTTCCCTGGATTTCCAGTGGACAAGCGTCCGTCATAGAGGGACCTAAGCACGAGCTCTCTTTTACGTTTAGTGGAGCATACGAAGAGCGAAAAGGGGACCACACGTCGCTCAACTCGTTGGACGACCGAACCAGCAGTCAAATGCCGAAGCATGTTCTTCCATCTACCTTGACCTTCGTCTCATTCTGAGTCGGCAACCAAATCACTCTGCACGTCGGCAGCCGACTTACTGCAACCGTCAGCCTACTAAGATCAGTCAGTACGGCTTCTCATTATCTTGTTCCCTCTACAAAGGACTTCGCTTAAGCACGCTTTCTCGTGCAGATGTATGTTCAATGTCATCGTGCCTGTTTTGGTTCAGCCCGTCACTTGATAAGAAGTCGGACTACGCTTGCCAAGATTTTACAACGGACATCCAGTGATCCCGACGGCTGCCGACTGTCCGGTGAACGATCTTAATATTTTCCCTGCAGCCGGGTCTTCTCTGTGACTCTGCTCGCTCGCCGGTCACGCCACTTCGCCGGCACCCGCTACCTGAAGCGCGGCGTCAATGACAAGGGCCGCGTGGCAAACGACGTGGAGACGGAGCAACTGGTAGCGGAGGAAGGGCCGGGGCGCGGCCGCTGGCCAATCACGAGCGTGGTGCAGAATCGGGGCTCCATCCCGCTGTTCTGGTCGCAGGAGACAAGCAAGCTCAGCCCGAAGCCGGACATCGTGTGTGAGTGCTTCATTCGCAATTGTTCGCCTTCGCTTCTCCGTTTGAGACCAGCTCACAGTCAATGTTGTGCTTCATTAGAGGCAGTGTTCGGTTAGTTTCACCTCCCATCATGTCGTTCTCTTTCAATCCTTTCCAGCAAGGGGACCAATCAGTGGGTGTCGGGCACGCATGTTTGTGAAGGTACTGGCTCCAAAGCAGGCTGTCCATCGGTTGAACGCAAGGTGAAGTTTCTATTCGTGCGAGGGCAAGGCCTGTGCTACCAGGAGTCTGATACGACTCTTTTCCTCGCAATACTACGGTCCGAATCTAGTATCAGGCCACTAGTCGGCACTTCCACAAGTCGTTCTATACGAAGATCGATTACCGACCATCCGAATGCCGACATCAATCGCTCCCATCACCTGCACGGGTGCGCGACGACCCAGTGTACCAGTGTACCAGGCCATCAGTCTGCACTTTGAGGACTGTCCTCATAAGCCCCGAATGATCAATCTTCCAGATTCTGAAATCCATATCTTCAAGACTCTCACCCTAAACCTTTTCCTTACCCCTGCACTGGTGCACTTGTGCGCTACGACCCAGTGTATCAGGCCACCAGCCTGCACTTTAGAGACTATACTCATCAGCCCGAATCAAAGAATTCTCTGAACTTGGACTTCATATCCTCAAGACTTTCAAGCCGAACCTGACCCTCACCCCTGCAGTGGTGCCCATGCGACCCAGTGTCAGGGCACTTTGACGACTATCCTCATCAGCCCGGAGTAAAACAATTTTCCAGATCCTAAACCCCACATCCTGATGACTCTCAACCTGAACCTGAACCTTGCCGCTGCAGTGGTCCGGTACGACCCGGTGTATCAGGCCACCAGCCTGCACTTCCAGGACCTCGCGCGCCGCTATGGCAACCCGATCATCATCCTGAACCTGATCAAGACGGTCGAGAAACGGCCGCGCGAGATGATCCTGCGCCGCGAATTTGCCAACGCGGTGGGGTACCTGAACCAGACGCTCGGGGACCGAGAGAAGCTCAAGTTCATTCACTGGGACTTCCACAAGTTTGCCAAGACGTGAGGGCACATGGATTCCCACTCTAGTTCGCCTGTAGAGCTCGGCCTTTCCATTACCATTGAGTGTGGCTTTCAGAGCTCTGCAAGAGGGTTCGGATATGACGCAGGACATCACCTCTGAACGAGCCTCTTTGATTGCGTATCTAGTCGAATGAGGCATCTCAGTCGCAAAGCATTTTGGGCGGGTTCGTTCGCATCGTAGCCGAGTCAATGGGATTGAGCTCACCAAAAACCCCGCACCAATGAGCGACTCACGACCTCCAAAATCCAATCCCGCAGGGAGCGCCGGCTATTGCTACATAAAGCTGAATTCTTAGAGTTCTGAATTGCAAGAAGTACACACTTGCGTCAAGGAAGCCTGACCCTTAAATCTCTTTTCTCTGCAGGAAGGGCGCCAACGTGCTGACGGTTCTCGGGAGCATCGCCGAGGAGGCCCTCGACCTTACCAGCTTCTTCTTCAGCGGAAGGGAGAGGATCGGAACGCACCGGGCCAACCAGGTGACCCCACGCGCTGCGCCCACGTCACAGGACGACGTCACTTCCAAGTCGAGCGCACGTGGCTCTTCCACAGGACGGGAAGACGTCAAGCGGGCGTCAGCTCGAGTGGATGCCGCCGTGCAGACTTCGGAGTGGGCTGAAGGTGAGAAAGCGGGGAAGGCGGGTGCGTCTGAAGCGGGTAGTGCGGAGGCGGACGTGGGGCGGGTTTTGGACGGGCAGCGGCCGTCCGAAAGGGGAGACGTGGGGTCCGAGAGAGTGCGGGAGTCTGTGTCTAGGTCGCTTGATCAACCAGCGGACTCAATAAAAGACGCGGGGTCCGATAGTATAGAGGATAGGTCGCCGGAAGGCGGTTTGCTAGATCTGAATAGTGCGGGTAGGCAGGGCGACTCAGAAGGGAAAGGTAGACCGAAACCACAAAATAAAGATAGTGAACAAGATATTGAACAGGAGACGGAGGACAACGGAATGATTCTTGTGGTAGACAACGAAGGCGCGCGAGCCCTGAGCCCGGAACGGATCGCAGGACCGGCGTCAGTTTTCGAACACTCGCAAAAGGGTGATAGCAGTCGATACGGAACAGGCAGCACTTCAGTAAGTGCTGACAAACCAGATAGGGAGACCTCGGAGGATACCGGAACGCATTCCGGTCTCAGTTCTGCCAAGATGCGCGAGTCGGAAAAGCGGAGAACAGGACACGGGGATGCGGAAGAAAGACCAGGGGTGTCGGACAGGGGGAAGCCTGCTTCGGACGCGAGGAACAAGGGTTTGGGCGCCAAGGACCAGGATTCGGACGCAATGAAGCAAGGTATGGATGCGCGAAAGCGGGGTTCCGACCCAAGGAACCAGGGTTCCGACGTACCCAAGAGGAGGACGGACGTGAGGTTCAGTTGTGGGGAGACCGTTCCGGTCCGACTGCAGTCCGGGGTGCTGCGGACCAACTGCATCGACTGCTTGGACCGTACGAATGTCGCGCAGTACGCATACGGGCTGGCCGCTCTGGCGAGGCAGGTGGGGCTTTGCTCTATACTAGCCGGCTTACCCCTCTCCAGGTATTAGCTATCAAGAGTGCAACACATATTTCTGATATTGCTGCAGGCTCTGTCCATGATAAAGAGGTTTGCTCGAACTTGTAGGTCGACTCACTTCTTTATGAGTCAGACATTGGAAGGCTGTGCGGGTTAAGGTGGTCGTCGAAAGCCTGAATTCGCTCTGCGGGGCACTGTTTGCCTTGAATCACGGGCCGTATAAACGAGTTGCCTTACAAACAGAGTGCGATCATTTTCAGAGACATTTGCCATCCAGATTGATGCAATCTGTTGGGCGTGGATGTCCTTGAATCGAAGTCTGGCTCGGTCCTGAAAGCCCATTGCAATAATCCTTGGCAGCTGCACGCGCTAGGCTTCCTTTCGTCCCCGCGGCTGGACCCGGAGTCGGAGGTCGCCGGCATCCTGATGGACATGTACCAGGAAATGGGCGACGTGCTCGCGCTGCAGTACGGGGGCTCTGCCGCGCATAACATGGTGAGGCGCGGTTTTTCTTCAGGAGGAGCGGCAGGGTCACAAGCAACATTGTGGAGAAGCTGCGAGTGACATGCGTTTTCTCTTGTGTGGAAAAATTTGGCGCGGCAGATCTGTGGAGCGAGGGGAACATGAGATAGAAAACGAAACCATACGGGAAAAGGGTTGGACTTGTTGAGAGGACGATCGGTCTCAACAAAACTTGAACTACAAAACCTGAACCTGTGATTTTCAGGCGTTTTAGGTCGACAGGGCCTGAACATGGAGCTAAACGGTACATGGTCGTTTGGGATCGAGAACGGTCATCCGTACTTTCATGTTGGCGAAACCGTGAAGAACGAGCTTAACCAGTCTGGTTACCGCAGGTGTTTCCGGAACGGCAGGGCCTGTGAATTGATAGACTATGGCGATATATTTGAAGAATGGCGAAGATAGTATGAAAGTGACCAGCCTGAAAGGGTTGGATTCGCAGCTGGGCAGGTGGTTAAGATGCGGCAGGGTTTGGACAGGCAGCTAGTCATGAATCACCCTTAGAACAGTGCAATAAAGAGCTTAACCAGTCTGGTTACCGCAGGTGTTTCCGGAGCGGCAGGGCCTGTGGAAGGCGACGACGCAGTCGCGGGAGCTGCTCAAGACTATCCGGCGCTACTACAGCAATGCGTACACCGACGCGGAGAAGCAGGACGCCATCAACCTGTGAGCCGGCGCGCTGTCCGCTGATGTCACATTTTGCATATCTCTTAGCCACGTCTTATGAAGGTTCTTAAGGAGGGCGTCGGGTCGCCGCGAACTGCAGCGACACAGCCTGTGCCAGACTGCTTTGAGCCCCGCGACGAAAGCTGGTGAATTATTTGGCGGCGACGACATTCCATTCTCATGTCGCTTCTTAATGTTAGGCGCTACGGGTTGGAGGACGGCCACTCTAAGCGACCATAGCCGCCGTCAAACGCATCCTGCTTGTGCAGTGTTTGTCGAGTCCGAGGCCCTCTGCTTGTGAAGAGCAGACCTCATCATCTTCATGCTCACATCACTGATTGCGGCATGGATCCACAGGCAGCATTTCTCCCTTCTTGATCCGCAGTTTTTATATCTTTCCACGAAGAAGAAACGACACTCGATCTCGGGCTTCCGAGATGAGGAGGCGATATGCTGCCCTCATATCTGATTCCGGAAAGTGAAAGCATTCACCACCGTCTCCTGTTGCAGGTTTCTGGGCCACTTTGTGCCTGAGGAGAATAAGCCCGCGCTGTGGGAGCTGGACAACGACTACTACCTGCACATGGGCCAGTCAGCGGAGAGTCCGCAGGACAAAGGCCCGGGACCGTCCGGGTAAGCGGGCAGTTTCGTTGCGTTTTTCGGGTTTGACAATCTTATAAAAGGCCGTTTAATTGCTACTTCTAATCTGATTGGGAGGAGCGTGATCCAGGGCAAGAAGGGCGGTAGTGGGAGTGTGGTTGCGCCGTGTCATACAGCAAACTTTCAGGGGATTTATTGATTCTGAACAGAACGAAAGAAGCAGGCATGTGTGGCCTGAGTCAGGGCAACCATGGCAGACCTCTGCGAAACCCTGCAGACCTGAAACGCACCTTCTGCCTGGAAGGGTCTTGATATTCCGACAAGTCACTAAAGACTGTTATCTCCAATCAATCTTATTTCTTCCGCTGAGACCAGCATCATTCAACTGAAGTTTTTTTCATTTTCGCAGCGGTGACGACCCCCCGACGCCCCTCTGCTTGCCGCCCCACGCGAGCCCCCCCCACAGCGCTGACGCCCCTCCCCGCCTCAAGCTGACGTCATTCGACAAGCTGGCAGCCACTCAGGCGGCTGTCAGGCATGTGCGGCTCGTCAGAGAGGCCGTTGAGCCCGTCGAGAAGTCCAAAGCGGGAACGTCGACGGAAGATTTGTGAGTTCACTCCACAAGAGTCAGCTTATGCAGTATGGTCACAATCAAGTTGTTTGGCCATTCTTGCGCGACATGTGCTTTACTTAGTAGAGGGTTAGAGAAACGGCCTTGCGATATTTCGCCAGATCCTCAGACTCCTGTTCCGATCATCTTTCGGATCTGCGCTGCCAAGCTTGTGGTAAATTCCAGTCGATTGTTTCCACGATATCCGTCTAGGTTTTGGAGGACTGGCTTTCTATGGTTGGTCTCACTTGCGGCCGGCCGCGACTTTTCGGCGAACTGTCTTCTGCGGAGTCTAAGTTTCTTTAGCAAGCAGAAAACAAAAAGTGAGATTCAAAGTATCGACTCCGAGGGACACGTTTATTGGCAGTATATCAGGGCTGGGGCTTTTCTCGGTGGTTCGAGGCGGTTTGCAAATATGAGCACGTGATTTTCCAAAGACGTAGTCGCTAAGAAACAGAATGAGCAAATTGGCTCCATCGAGTAATCTGTTCAAGCCCTCGCACCGAACAAGTGTGAGGAGACGTAATTTGCATTATGTATATGACCCCGCTGCGTGACGTGCAGGCACGTGCTCCTCACTGGCCCCAGCTGGCTCTTCGGAGCCGTTCCCGAACATCACCCAAAGGTACGTACCGCATTGATGCGCCCTTCCCAGAAAGACCAAACCACTGTCAACACCTTTCTTGCGAACACTCTTCCTACCCGGTTGGGGTGACTGACTGCAAGGTCGTAGGCGGTTCGGTGGTTGTCCGATCGCGCGAGTTGGAGTTGCAGCCAAATTTTCGCATCGAGGCACTGGGCCTTCGGCTCATTGCTTTTGTTGGTACGTGTTCACGAAACGTCAAAAGTGCTTGTTCTTTGGCTCCGAAATTTTCATACAAGTGCGACTTCGTCGCAAATTGGAGCTTCATCGTACTTGCGGAGCATCAGTGGAGAACTTCACAGTGCTTCCAAGTCCAAGCACAGAACCCCACACAATGTGGAGACGTGGAAGCGCGTCTTTGCAATCCCTCGAGTCACTTGCAATAGATCCAGGAGTAGGACAAATGCTACAGAGACGAAATTCTGATACAGGGAAGCCTTCTGCTCCCGTACCATCCTAGTTCTTTACCATGATGCGGCCCTTCCGTTGGTACCTTAGCTTGTTATTCTCCTGATCGAGTCCATTCTTCTGTTTGCTTATGCCGCGCATCAGTGATAGCATCTGCCATCTGTTTCGCAGGGGTTCCCAATTTCGCCTCGCAAGGAGATCGCCGAACCCGAGCCACGTCGCCCCGAGGAGGATGACGTCAGCTCAATAGCGTCAGTCGTCGGGGAGCTGGAAACCGACCCGCTGTCGCATCTACTGAGTGATGACACCATAGAGTGAGTCTCAAATGATACTGGCCCTTGCAGTGAGTAGCAAAAGCGGATTTGGCAAACTTGTATCAGGGGATGACGTTGCACACTAAGTTCCTGCAAACTGAAATTGTTTGCCGTTGGCTTGAAGGTTCAATCTAGGAAGGGACTCGGAGCGCTTCCACTGATCCAAGCGAAAACGGTGACATCTTCTGTCTTGAGTTGCTTCCAGAACAGATTCGCGCTCCGGAAGTGCGCCCAACTGCAGCTGTTCAGAACGTCAATACACTTCAAAAAGCACAATCTGACCGGCTCCCGTCTGCACCTCTTGTTGCTGCAGCCTCACAGCCAGATCGAAGGACTTCTCGTCGGCAATAAGGTTCCCTTCAAAGTCTTGGGTTCAAAGCTGTGCACCAATGCAACATTTCTGCAAGTTGTCGAATCCTGGGCGCCTGCCAAAAATCCAATCTGCGCTGGCTGATCGTAAGCCTTTGGATTATCGGTTGCGACCTTCCGAATACTCATTTTTTGCAGATGGCCGAGGATGACGTCGGAGGAACCAGCCAAGATAGGCAATCCGGCAGTACTGCAGAGCCCGATTTGAATTATTTGTCTGAACTCGTGAGGTTGGATCTTAGATAGAATCACTTCCATACAGGCCTGGCTTCACGAGCACTGACGACGACGACTGGTACGGCTCGAGCCTTTTGGCGGGCAGTATCGAGACCAGCCCCGCATACGAGCATTACCAGCGCCTATGCCAGCTCTCGGACGAGGGTGGCATCTTCTCCCAAACTCCGTCCCAAACGGAAGTGTACAAGGCTTATGACGGCATTGCGACGACGCTTGGCGGTGGGGAAGAGTCTGATGCGGAGTTGGAAGCCAAGATGGCACGGCAGCTCGAAAGCTTGTCGAATTTTCAGGTTTTCATGCGGGAGGGCCAGGACGGACTTGTATATGCGTAGGAGCGTAGATAATCTAGGCACACATCAAGTGGGCTTTTTGCAGCTTTTCGCCAAGGCATTCTTGTGGATACTAATACTCGAGTATAAGCTTGCAGACGATAGCATTGAACAGACACTCTTAATCTGAGTAGATACATAGCTGCCTACAACCAAAGGACAAGGCATTGCAGAGCCAATATCAACACTTTGCTAGTGTTGCTATTTACTTTTACTATGTTGCCATGGTGGCTTTGTTTAGCCCATGGCTTGATATGTGGGGGTCACATTGTCATGAGTAGAAAATGGAGGAGCTTGGTACTAGCTTGCCAGATGTCTAGCAGTCAAAGACGTATAGGAAGTATAACTCGGACCGGACTTTGAGAGTCGGTGTTTACTGGCATATCCATATCATTGCCAATGGCTTCTTCTTCTGCGGAATCGAAGATCTTGTGCAGCAGAAACAACGCAACGATGATGGTCTTTTGAGCTTACATAGAAAGCTGTTGTCACTTGTAATTTGGCTTCATAGAGCTTATTATATGGGAGAAACTTATGACATTGATGCATCTGTATGTGGCTCTCGGTGTGTGGGCAGCCAATTCGAACTTGGATACTGACGAAGTTTGACTCTGACAAAAACGACCCTCACTTCAATAGACTCAGAAGTGCATTTGTACAGTATTCGTTACAGTATCTTGTGTACCATTCATCTGCTTCGTGCGACGCGTATGCCTCCACAAATTTGCGCATCAGGATCACGAGTCAACGACCGTGGCTGGCTGCACGTGTCCACTCAGACTGCCAGACCAATGGCATCGTGCCACGGCCGGCCCAGAATTAGCCACGGTGGGCGGCCGCGTGAAGGTTCGTCAGCATTGGAGGCTGCCACGAGTGCACGTCATAGACGCGCCGCGAATTTTACGCGATGCGGTCTCTGACATTTCGAGTAAGTTCGAAGTGCTTGAAACCTCGGAGCTAATGAGTGGCACTCAAAAAAGTAACTCGTGCAATCAGCACCACATGCCCGAGCACTCCCGGGCACTGCTTTCTGCTTAATATGGCCCGCTCGCCACTGGAACGTATACTGATCTGCTTACTGGTTTGGACTGACGAAGCTCTGAGGATTCTGCCAATGCCCAACGTACAGTGCTCCACTCCCCTTCATAAATCCAAGCGCTTGCACCTCCACACTTCAAATCAGTTTCGAACTCCTGAAAAACAGCCAATCAAGCCTTCAACGCTTCTATGCGCCGCCCACGTTCTTCTTTAACACGCCTTGTCAGCCCTTTGTCAGCCAAGCCCTTTTCAACCAACGCTTCTCAGTACTTTCAGCCACTGCTAGTTGACTATTTGACTATACTTCTGCTTGCACAATGGCCTCCACAGCGGCCGCAATCCAGTCCGTCGTCCCGCGGTCCTCCTTCCTGGGAGCAGAGACTCAAGCTTTCCGGGGGGATGCCATCGGCAGCACGTCCGCAGCCCCCGCGCTCCCCCCCATGAGAACGAGCTCGTCTCTCCGGGCCAACAAGAACTCGCCCTTCTCTAACAAGGTAAGAATCGAACGCTAAAAGATCATGAAGTACTCTTGTCACCAGTGGAGTAGTGGCGCTAAGCTAGCTGGTAGCTTAGTCGCAGCTGAGAGACCGTGAATGGGTGTAGCAGTTTTTCCTCCACCCTACGAAGGATCGCCGTTTTCCAAAAATCGCATGGATCGGTCTTCTTTGAGCCAGCTAGTGCGTAATCTGATCAACAGGGTTCGTCAGGCTCTTTTTGGTTGATTCCTAATTTCCTTGTAATGGGTCTGGAGTAGTAGGTCGCGTACTAGATTTAGTCTATATGATCTTTGCAGCACTCCAAGCAATGTCACTGGCACGAACGTCTTGGGAAGGACCTTGATGCAATGCATCACGAGTCCTGTTTGAAACTGCTGAGCTAAGGAGCTGACGTACGGTATCTTATTTGCATATGAAAGGGAGCTGCCATGTAAGAGAGCTTTGCACTGTAATTTTCCAGTGCCACAAGAAGGATGCCGACATTTCCGACTCTTCAAGGAGCCCGCTGGATGAGTCCCTCTGTTTGCGTGCCCCTGTCGTTTGTGATCGCTTTAGCTGCTACTTGAACTGGATTCTGTTGCGTTATTCTTTTCCACGCCACTACACACTCTTATCCTCTGGAAACCGTTGAGTGTTGACACTGCCCGACTTACCGGGCCCGGTCACTTTCAAGCCTTTCCTTGCATTGTTCAGCTTGGAGCTCTTTACGAAGCGGATCCTTCAGGTAGATTTCGAAGTCGGCTCAATTCCCACTGCAAAAAGTTCGCCCAGTCCCCCTTCGCTTCATGGCCCATCAGGTTGCTTCTACCCACTACGAAGTTCTTTTGTTTATATCTCCTGCAGCTCCGAAAGGGACATCTGAACTCCGATACATAATCAAATCCACAGTAAGAGACCGTAGCGAGTCTTACAAGCCCCCTTTCATCATCCGCACTGCCAGATGTACCCAACTTCGACATCTGCGCCTTTTCTAACATTCTACGCCAATTCTGCAGTCTGCCCCCGCTCAGGGCGCCCAGAAGCTGGTCGGCTACAAGGGCTCCACCATGCCTGGCAGCGCGCCGCCTCGACGAGACGGAAAGCCCGGGGTCGTCTACCGGCTCAAGGTGGGCGAAAATACCCATTCCCTTTTGGTACTCATCTCTGAAAGGAATTGTGATGTCAGCTGCTATCAGATTCCAGCGTTAGATACTCTTCGGAGATGTCACTCTGGCTAATTTGGCCTGCCCTGGAGTCTCTTTTTGGTAGAAACCCTGTGATTTTACTAGAAGGGGAAAAGGGAGTCGAGCTTGAGAGTCCCTCCAAAATGATGGGCTTCAATGACCTAAGTATAGCGACAGTGAGAATCATTAGCTCCAAAGTTGAAAGAAATTTGATCTTGATGGTCTCCGAAGCGATGACCTGCTTGTCGTGAATGATTCTGCATTCGTATGCCCTCCTCACCTGCCCAGTCAAAAGGTTAATAGAGGAAAACTCGGGCACCCAGTCCTTGAGGAAGAGAACGGTAGAAATCTTACGTGGGCATACTTTGATTTCGCCGTTGCGTCTCCAGGCCAGACTGAATCTGTTTCTTAGCTTGAAAAAGTCTGGATTACATGGCACTCAGAAGGCACTTTTAAGTTCTCTTACGAATCCGATTTTCTTCTTTGGGATCTGCCGAACTTCAATGTGGACTTGATCACCTTGCTTCGTACTTTTCAGCACCCGCTTAGTCTGAGCTCCGCTTTCCGTGTCCCTCCGCCGTTCCTGAGCGAAAGTTTTTTTCCGTTTGACCCTTCATCTATCTTCCGATCTCCATCACAAATGCATTCTGGCAGATCCTTTCTGAATCTTATTGTGGTCGTGCAGCGCCGTAGAGGTCGGAACAATGTTTGGCGGCTGTCTAGCAGATACTTCAACTTCTCTCATCATGTTCTTTGACATTCAAGATCACCTGTGCTCCTCTTAACTCTCTTACCGGCCTTCAGTCACCATTATTATACGTAGACTGTACCCTGCTCATCTAGCTTCTTCTTGAAAAGACCAGCTTCTTTCTGCTCTCACTGCAAACCGCCGCGCTTTGTTTCCTTCAACCCATTTGCTGATGTCTCATTGCAGGCCGAAAACGGCAAGATGAACGTGGACGAGTACTCCCCCATCTTCACCCCCGAAAAGTGGAGCCCCACCGGCGACACTTACGCCCCAGGGTTGGCCGGGATCGCTCTGTGGGCCATCACGTTTACCACCGTCATAGGGGGGGCCGCGTATCTCGTCGTCAACACGTCCGCCCTGGGGGCATGATAGCATTTTGAGTCGGAGGCATAAGTTATGTAGGTAGATGGAAAGGATTTTTAGCTGCCAAAGTTCAGAATAGATGCCCGGTCAGCGGTCGAGTAAGTATACGAACTTGGGCTTTTACGATAATATCGGTGAAGCAGAACGGCAGACGTCAAAAGATTTTGCCGCTAGCTACGCTCGCCGCTTACGTCAATGCACCGACTTCTACAGTGACCAGACGGTCCATAGTAGGATCCTCGAGCAGAAACCGGGCTTGAGTGACGAAGAGACCAGATCAGAAGATCAAGTCAATCTGCTTGAGCTCTATCGCATGTGAAGACGTCAAAACTTTCAAGGAACTCTAATGCTTATCTTGGTCGACAACAAGGTGAAAACATGGCTATATAAGCACACAAGTACGAAAGTCACCAGTCCTCATGACATACCGACTGATCCAGCGAGACCTTCGATTTCTGCTGCGCTTCTGACATTAAATTTGTCAAAAATATGCCGTTGACTTAAGTTTTCTGATAGAACGTCACTGATACTAACTGGATTATGTATACTGTGGCACCCACCATGTCCAGCTAGACAAATTCTAGAGGACCTCTTCTGTTCGTTTGGCGTGCTTTTAAAATGTCTCCAGTGTCTGCAAGAGTTGCAGCATTCCGTTTCCTTCATTTTGCACTTTAAGCGGTACGATGGAAAGACGTTGACATCTCAATATTTTTGAACAAACTGACTGATGTGTGCCTCATGAGGAACCAGAATCGAATCTTCGGCGCCAATTACCGGTGTGTAGACAAATGCCACGGCGCACCGGCCGCCTCTCGCTTGGAGTGCCATCAATATTATATTTCAGACTAAGAAAGTGTGGTCGAGGCTAGGAGTACGGATATATAGCTGGTGAATCAAAGCTGGCTTCAGTGCTTCTCTCGATATTTGCATCTCTCAACATTCCCCTGATTGTTGGGGCCTTCAATCGAGTGCACTGTATAAACCAATTTGGGGTTTTGGGTCTTGGAAGTGAACCCATGCTCTGCATTCCAACAGCCGCCCTCATGTTGATTTTAACTGCTCCTTGTGACATGGCACCGTATTGCTGCCGCCGAACTGGTGGGCGCCATCGGGGCATCAACCGGGCTTTAATATTCTTTTAGGTGATCGCTTAATGCTCCGTCTGTTCGGGCGCCTAACTCACAGCCGCGCGCCCCAGATCATCAGAACTTCTCAGAAGGTTTGCTGAGAGCATACACCGGGCAGTGTCGAAGTTACAACTTGCTGATCAAACTTCCATCTTACTAGACCACAAAATTATAATGTCGAATCAGTCCACGCGGTCTGATCAATCCTCCGACGCGGCTAGCTTTGGCTAGCTCCAGTGGTTGCTATATTCTTGCTAAACACAAAGACTGCAGGAGTGTTCTGCACTCAGCATGGCAATAATCGTAGTGCTTACCTGTCCACCTACCCACCTGTCCACCTCTCCACCTGCGCCCCCTGACGCCTTCAAGACCGGAGCAGGCCGTATCGACATTTGAGCAGCAAGCCAAAGGTTGAAGGGCGGCGCCTTGCTCAGTTGGACTCGGAATTGGTGACTAAGTTTCAGAGCCCGAGTACAAATTTAACTCAAGAAAGATAATAATAAGCCAAGATAATAATAAGGTAACCGCACTGGACGGGTAGGGTTGGTTTGGTGGTTAGGGTGGGTATGGGTGCGGAGCAGGTATCTTTTTGGGTTAGGGTTTTTAGTGTTTTTGAGCTTATTATTACCTTGGCTTATTATTATCTTTCTTGAAAATTATCGAGTACAAGGTTGGGTACGCTTTTGCGGCTCATGATTGAGGCACCGAATCACAAGAAACCGCCTGTGAATGGCCGTACATTTACTGACCCGATTCGCACCGACGATTTTTCGGGCGCTGACCAATCGGATAGCGCCAGAGGTGGTGGAAAAGGGGCCACGATAGCAAAATACGAGATTCGCAGATTGCCTGGTACACTTTTCTGTACTCTCTGTACATTTTGGCTCAGTACAGATTCACACGAGCAGAAGGTGCGGTTGGCCTGCCTTCATCAAGCGTTTGGTGGAATGCTCGCCTCCCGTTGCTCTACAACAAGCTGTTTTCAATCTACAAAAGCCATTCCCTGCCTTTGCTAGGGGCAAGAGTTGCTGTCTTAGCAGACCCCCTGCTTCAAAAGGACTGACTACAGGATCCTTCAAATCAGGCCTTCAACATTTGCAGAGGGCATTCAGAAAGCAAACAGAACCAATCTTGCATTTCAAGTTGTTCTGCAGCACTAATTGCATTCCAGAAACACAACGCCGTTACCACACCACCCCAAACAAGCCCTCCCTACACATCATGGCTGCCACCACCGCTGTCTCGTCCGCTGTCGCCAGGTCTTCCTTCCTGGGAGCGCAGACCTCCTCATTCAGGGGGGATGCTGTTGCCAGCGCACCCGCAGCGGGGCTCCCCTCTCTCAGGAGGAGCCTGTCTGTGAGGGCTAACAGTAACAAGAACGTGTCCAACAAGGTGAGCCACATGTCAGGCAATCGCATTCTGTGTGACGCAATGAAAAGCGGATGAGGATTTTGTTGCATTGTGGATTTGCTGATGGTCTTCTGTGAGCTTGCCTTTCTGTGAAGGGGTGATGTACCCTTGTAAGCTGGTGTGGTCTGACTCAATATCCACTTCGAAGGCTGGACCCACCATTCTATTAGTACTGAGTTCAGAAGAATCATTCACAGAGTGAAACACTGTGGTTTGATCCAATGAAGTTTCTTGCTCAGCAGCGCTAGTTTGGTGACAGGGAGAATGATTCTGAGTAATTTCTGAACTGCCCCAAGCCTGGACGCTTCCAGGTTGGTATGGTTAAGCATATGCTCAGGAGACCAGGGTCAAGCAACACTCAAGCACACTTGGGAGAAAGTTGGATTTAATGAATGTTGCGCTGCGGCACGTAGTGACCTTGTCATGGCGTTCTGAAAAGGAGCAGATGGCGGTCCTTTTAACTCTTTAGCCAGTTTTCAATGCGGCACTGGTTGAAGGCTTCTTGAGGTCCTTGCTATTCATGACTGGTACTTTTCCTACTCCCTTTGCTTGCTGCCTGGATGGTGGGGAAGTTTCCAGGGATGAGCCCTGGTTGGCTTGATCGACAGCTTATGTTGCAGCCTCAGAAGCATCAAACAGAAGGATGATCCATCTACATGTGCCTGAATGAACTTCCCAGTTGTCATCTGTGGTAGTAGGAACGAGCAAAGTCATCATCAGAGGTTTTCGCAGTCAGCTAGGATGTATGAGCGATTCTCCTCTGCCTGGCTTCCTTGACGGCCACAGCCTGATTCAAACGAGGACCAGCTTCGTCATGTTGCTTCTTGTTTTCTACAAGAAGCAAACTGGGATGGCTGTAGAAAAGATGCAGTCTGACTCATCTGCTTGTGATCTGAGCCTGCTGGACTTGCTGGACGGCCCTGTATGCAAAAACTTCATATGTTCCATAGCCTTCTTCCTCCTGTGTTTGCATAGCCTGAGCTTGACCTTCCAAAGAACTTGATCAGGGTTTGAAACCACCCCGGAGATGACCCCAACCATTTGCTGATCAAGCAAGGCCTTGAGCGATTCTTCAACTCAACATACCTCACTTGCTTCTGCAGCCAAAGGCTGCCCAGGGTGCTCAGAGGTTGGTCGGATACAAGGGCTCCACCATGCCTGGGAGCGCCCCCACACGGAGGGACGGAAAGCCCGGAGTTGTGTTCAGACTGAAGGTGAGGCAGTTTGCTTGTTGCTCTTGAAAGCTCATGCTTGAATCTCTGTAGCTGATTCCAGAACCTGCCACTGCTTACCCCATCGCCAACTATGTTTACTACTTACAGGTAAGAGCTGCGTGGAGTTCTTCCAACACAGGAGTTCATTGTCAGATGCTCTGTTACCATCTTGATCAGGTGTCGAGCCATCTGCTGATCGTTAGGGTTGGAAGGATGTTTCTTGAACTGCCTGCTTTGATTGCTTCAATCTAACGGATGGGCTTGCAGAATTCTTGTTCGAAAGCGTACAGACAATCCGGGCAGATCCATAAGAAAGATACTGCAAATTTGATTCGCTATTCTCTAACCAGATGACTGAAATCGCTAGCAAACGTCGAGTCCCCCTGGAAGCGCCTCGGATGTTCGAACATTTCCTGTGCTGAAGGCACAATTTCTCGAGGAGAGAGAAGAGTGGGAATCGCTTCCCCTAGAGCTTTCAAGGTCCGGCCATCACACATTAGGTTGATGGGGCAGATTGTCCTGCTCTTTGCTCTTGACAGTTAGACAAGATGCTACTGTCGCTCCCTTCAAAGGCCTGACCATTCCGTTCTTCGTCTTTTCCTCAGGGCGAGACTGGCAAGGAGAACGTGGACGAGTACTCCCCCATCTTCACCCCCGAGAAGTGGAGCACCACTGGCGACACCTACGCCCCTGGACTTGCTGGCATCGCCCTCTGGGCCGCCACTTTCGTCACCGTCATTGGCGGAGCTGCTTTCCTGGTCATCAACACCTCCGCCCTCGGAGCTTAAATGCTCAGCCACTGATGTGTCCAGCCTCCTAATCTGGAATCAGGTAACAGATAGTCGGTTGCAAGCTTTCAATCCGGTTAAGCAGTTGAGGTCTAGCCAGCCAGCTACATCCTGTGCGCGCCACTGGGTTCAGGAGATTGAAGCGAAGCGAAGGTGTTGAGCAGGTAGTCAAGAAGGTTTTCAACCGCCATACAATATTCTTATTTTGGGAACAGGATGGTGTGGTACAGTTCTGAAGGTGATTCTTGTCCTGAAGCTCGGGCAGTGCACGGAGCATTGAGCTCGACGTTTCGGTTGACGCAGGTAAATACAGGATCCCGCAATGCGTCAAGACCAAATTAAGACATTGAGAACGATTCTGTAGTGTTTCGTTTACCTTTTATCAGGTATATACTTACAGCAAGACAACCATGGAATTTCGATCAGGTTCTTATCGTCCATTTTCTGTGCGATTCAACGTATTTCAATGCGATGCTGCTCAACTGACTCCCGTACTGGAAGTTCTCGTCAGTATCCTCCGTTCAGTCCGTTGGCACTGTACCTGTGATATGGTCGAGCATCATCAGCAAGCGTTCAAAAAGACTATGCACATACATGTAATCCATAAAACTAAGAGTGACCCGGAACACAGAATATATAAATGCTCAATGGTGTAAGTGAACGTTCCGAATGTTGAGCCGTCGAAAAATGCCAGTGCACACGGCTAGTTTTTGGACGATATAAGTCAGCTACGATTGACATCACATGCCACAGTTAGTACGTTATAACGCAGCAGCCAGGCCATGCATGATACTCGAACGTGCACAACTGAGCATATTCGAGAGGGTTTCGATACGTTAGCCAATGACAGATTGCTGGATGTTAAACCGTAAATTTGCAATTCTGGCATGATTTGAACTTTAATGCTAGCTTACGGAGTCACCATACATGTAGCTACCAAGTGTTTGTTTCGTCCAATTCACATAGATCAGTTCGAGATTGTCGAGTGGTAACAGTAGAGTATGCCTTCAAGGCTATATTAATTATGGGCAAAAAACACTAGAGCATGTCGATTCCAGCGCCCTCAGCCGCGCTGAACAGGACGTGCTCAAAATCACCACGTCATCAACACTAGTCTCTTCTCCTTACCTGCGTGACCTTATACAATGTCACGCTGCAGAAGGTGACGGCCACGTTGAAGACCTTGGCTGTGCTTCCCCAGCCCTGGCAACCACAAAAACGGGGCTGCACGGAACACCTCTCGTGCTTGTGGCGGTGAGCCGCGCTGTGGTTAGACATTTTCGAGCTTTCGCACCGGTACTGGAGGCGGCTTCAAAGTAGGTTACCGAATCCGACCATGGCGGTGGGACCCATGTCAGCTCTTGTACAACAGATCAGATCGAGCCTTGAACGAGTTGAAGGCAGAGACCGCTCGAGTTCAATGTCGAGAACGCGTCACGGTACGTACGCAGCTTCCGGGCCGCGGCCGCCCGAGCCGTGGCGCGGCCGCCGGAGTCACGGTCGCGGGCGCCCGCGCGGCTTGAGAATGGTAAAGGTTGGAACGTCACCCACACGTAACCCGGGCTGGTCCCGGAACATGACACTTGCCTAACCGCAGCTGTTTTGCTCGGAAGTTCAGCCAGACATATGGCGTCAAAATGGTAAAGGTCCTGCCGTGTACGTGCAACCAACGTTTTGCCTGAAGGCGCCGCAGCGAAGCCTATACTAATAGCGCTGCCGCTTGGGGCTCAAGGAGAGGCAGAATTGTGAGAAGTAGGTTGTCAAAGGACGCGAAGCACGCAAGCAATCAGGCGTTGCCATCGGGCATTTGGATTGTGCCTCGCAGGAAACTTAAAGCTTTCCACGAAGGTGAAGGACCTGGAAGGTGTCCTCCTGAAAATTCGATAGCTGCTGCTTCTGAGGTTCGGCGGGCTCAGCCAACCATGGTGAGTGCACCTCTGACCATCGTACGTCGCATTGGAATCAATGCGCTTTTCCTGCCGTAACTCTTCAGGTGTAATGCATTCGCTTCAAACGCAGACAGCGTGCATCTGCAGTGGTTTCTGTGCATTTAAGCTAGCAGGTCGCTGATGCTGTTTCTCAGTGCAGCCGAATATTTTGCAAAAGCTTGACAAATTGGGCGGTGGTGGAGTACCGATAACTCATTTGCTCACATTTGCAGCCCCCAACGGACGGCTTGCCACTGCTTGCATCCTGAGTGCCTTCCTATGCAAAACTTAAACAGCGGCAATCAGCGGGGTAACTAAGACTCAGTTCTCCTGATCTTGTGACCAGGCGGGTGTGGAGTCAAAGATGGCGGATCTTACTGTGAGCAACAAGCCGGAGGCTGCCGAGACGTCTGACGCGGTTGATGGGAAGAAGAAAGAGAAGAAAGAGAAGAAAGAAAAGCCTCAGAAGGAGAAGAAACCTCAGGGGCAGGGGGCCGGCCAGTCAGGCAAGCAGCAGCGTTCTCAAAGATTTTTGGGGAGCGGACTTTCAGCCAGTCCCTGCGGTGGAACGAGCGAAATAGTGTAGAGTGCTTCGCTGGGTGGACATCGTTGAGCATGGTTCCCTTTCCAAGTTTGTTGAGGAGCCGGTCGCTTGCACAAATACCTTCTGAACAAATGTACGTTGTGTCTGATCAGGCTAGATCTCTCTTTCTTCCATTCATAGTCCGTCGTTCTTTCCTCAGAGTCAGAGGCACTCTCAAGTTCAGGTTGTTTTAGATTGGCGAAAAAGGCCTGCTTAATGTCCGTCTCCTCATAGATGTCTTTGCTTCCACAAACTTCTGGTGGATGAGGGAAGACAACCATAGAGCGAGTGCCTGCGCTAATGTCTCTGCTATTGCATTCTTGTAAAACCAGGTGGCAAGAAGGAGATGAAGAAGGAGACGGGATTGGGCCTGTCTACAAAGAAGAGCGATGACTTTGGCGAATGGTACTCAGAGGTGACAGTTTTCAACTCTCTTCAGTCGCTCACTTTCTGTAGAGAGGGACGTTTTTTTCATGGCAATCAGCTATCAGATGATCCAGATTGGATAGAATGTCTTTGTTTTGGCTGAACAGTTCAACTGAGGTAGCACAGGCTGAGGGGTCCAATTGACAGGTTCCATGTAAAGCACATTTCTTCGCGTTTTCTCTGTCCATTTTCATTCAAGCCTCTCCTGTCTTTGTTTCGAACGTCGTCCCTCACCGGTTTGTCCTGTGCGAAGTGGACAGATCTTTTCCGATGGACTCGCAACGTGTTAGAGATCCTGATAGCTCAAAAGCCTCTTGCATTAGCACGTGACATCATTGTTCTTGGTGATGTGCAGGTGGTAACGAAGGGGGAGATGATTGAGTACTACGATGTTTCCGGGTGCTACATCCTCAGACCATGGTCGATGAGCATCTGGGAGGCGATTAAGGTAAGAGCTCTGAACTACCTAATCACTTTCTGCTTGAGTGGCTCGGAGAGGGACTCTCGTACTTGTCATCTGGCGACAAGTCCCTTCGTTTTCGTTGCTCTGGAAGCTCGTCGTGCAGTATGAGTTGTGTAAGTCCTCTGCTCATGTTGCATTTCCCTTCATCGGCTGCTGTTCCAAGTTTGGCACGCAAGGTTTAGAAACCCTTAGTGCTCCTTGTCTTGATCAAGGTGCTTGCCTTCTACCATAATTGAGTGACAGGCTCCATGACTTTCGTTTCTGTTGCTGAGCTCGTCCTTTTGACGCTCCCTTCTCCCCTGCGCCTCCAGGACTTCTTCGACAAGGAAATCAAGAAGATGGGAGTTGAGAACGCCTACTTCCCCCTTTTCGTGTCGAAAGCTGCACTAGAGGCCGAGAAGGAGCACGTTGAGGGTTTCGCTGCTGAGGTGAGCCAGGCATCCGTTTCGCTAATGCATCCGGTCCGTTCCTGCAGTTCGACGTTTTTCTTTCTTCCTTCCTGGCTGAGTGGGGCCCTATTGTTTTCACACAAGGAGAAACCACGGCAACACAGAGTCAATGGTGGCTAGCGTTTGATGGTTACGAAAGACGATCGGGAGCCTCAAAATCGATTGTGATCACCTAACCCATTCAACCAGTATTTAAAAGAGTCACTCTCAACTAGTATCTTGAAGAGTGTCTCGTTCGTGCTCTTGAGCAAGCGTCCTCTCATAGGGAGAAAAGCTTCTCGACAAGGACAAAGACCTTCTTCGTACAAGTGGCTCCCTCGCGACTCTTTCAACACGTCAGCACATTCATGCGAGCAGAGAGTCAGCGCCTTCATTTCAAATTGACAGTCTTGGTAAAGGGGGCTTCCTGATTCGGAAGCGTTTCGCACATTCTTTCGAGCAAATGGGCTGCGCCAAATTGGTCTTTTGTTAATGCAGGTTGCCTGGGTGACCAAGTCTGGTGATTCGGACCTTGAAGTGCCCATCGCCGTCCGTCCCACGTCCGAAACGGTCATGTACCCCGTATACGCCAAGTGGATCCGGAGCCACCGGGATCTGCCCCTCTTGATCAACCAATGTGAGCCAGCCGCTCGAATCGAACCTACACTTAGAATTTACTTGGTGGGTAGTTTTCATCTTGTTTTTCGGCCTCTCCTCGTTGTGCCGGTGCTTGGAACCTTATTTGTGGATTGCCTTGTAGTTTAGAAAGGGTTGTCCGCCTTCTACAAACCTCTCTCTGCACAAAACCTTCTAATTCAACGTACTTTGCAACCTCGCGGACGGTGTCTGCGAAAACTGCAGTTTCTGTCGAAGGCAAGGGTTGAAATCCGCATCTGACGCAGCCGATATTGACGCCGTCGCAACTCAACATTTACCATCTCAGACGGACCTTTCGTTAGGGACTGGCATCGAGTCCTGACAAGCTTATTCGAATATTTTCAACCGCTATATTCAAAGTACGCCTTAAGAGATCCGGACTTTGCTGTATGAATCTGCTTCCAGTTGGTTCAAGCGTAGTTATTTCATTTGTTTCAAGAGATGATTGCGGCCGTTTGTCTTGTAGGCCGAACTCTGATCAAAATAACCTTATCGAAGGTTTCTAAGATAATCCTATCTAAGGTATCTGTCCTTTCAAACCGCAGGGAACAACGTAGTCCGTTGGGAGTTCAAGCACCCTACCCCCTTCATCCGGAGCCGGGAGTTCCTGTGGCAAGAAGGCCACACAGCGCACGCCACCAAAGAGGACGCGGACAAAGAGGTGCGTTCGCCGCCCGGTCCTTGTGCCATCCTTGTTGCAAGGCACAAAGGCTTCGATTTCTATCTTTTTGCAATTTCGGCGGTTCGCATTTGCCAAGATCGAGAACCTCTATGGTTCGAAGGGTTCCCTTCTCTGGCGGCAGACGTGCTCGTATGTAAGCTGCGTGTTGTGCACGAAGAAGAGAACACGTACGGACTCTGACAGGTGGCGGAGCTTCGGGAGCCTTACAAACAGTCTCATAGGAACATCCAACCTGTGATTTCATGTGCTGGAGATTTTGGAGCCGTATGAGGAACTGTCGTGTCCTCAGGATCCAGCCGTTTATCGGGTTTGGTATATTGGGACTCGTGGTGTCAAGTCAGGTGCCGGGAAGATACAAGCAGGTGTAGTCAGTCTCCAGGATACGAAAAACGCGTTCGTAGTAGCACTCAAGGTGTTGAAGATTTATAGGCTTGCATACTCGATCCATGCGTTCCTACCAAAACTTCGACACGTGGTGTTCTCCAGGTTTGGAGATTCTGGAACTGTACAAGCAGGTGTACTTAGACTTTAACCATTATTCCGGTACCAAGAATGGGACCCTGACGCTACTCGAGGCGATCCAGATCGGAGCTGTGCAACCAGGTGTACTCACATACCAGAAAGTTCTGCGGTACTAAATCCTCAACACGTGTTATTCTCCAGGTGTTGGAGATCCTGGAGCTGTACAAGCAGGTGTACGAGGACCTGCTGGCGGTCCCAGTCATCAAGGGCATCAAAAGCGAGAAGGAAAAGTTCGCGGGGGGGCTCTACACCACCACCATCGAGGTGGGTGATGCTGATCAGGGTGGAGCTCGGATGTTTCATGGAAGCGTAAACACAACCAGTGGCATGGATTCCCTGCGATTCGGGTCTCGTCAACGAACGATTGCAGCAGCCGTTTGATTTTCTTACCACAACCCAATCCTCAATTCATACACTTCTTATGGAAGGCAGCCAGTTTACCGGGCTTCTCCAGACGTTAATATCACGCTGCTTCGCTAATATACGCCTCCCGAAGGGAAAAGCTGGACAACGATCAGCGCTCAACGCAACAGCAGCATGCAGATGCCGAAAAAGACAAGTCCTTTGCGTGTTCTGTTGTCTCCAGGCGTTCATCCCGGCCACGGGGAAGGGCATCCAGGCGGCCACGTCGCACAACCTGGGCCAGAACTTTGCCAAAATGTTCGACATTGCGTATGAGGCCCTTGATGGGGGGCGCAAGCTGGTGTGGCAAAATTCCTGGGGGCTCACCACGCGGAGTGTGAGCCGTTCGTCCTTTCTGGAACCCTAGAAAAGGTCAAATAGGTTCTGCTTTTTTGCTTTTGCAATGGCTTTTGTGTAGTGTCTGATATGAGTCTGACCCGTCCGTCCTTACTCGAAAGCGGTAACGGATTTTGGCGTTCGTCTTTGTGCAATGGCTTTGTGAGAGATTTTTGGCATCGGTCCTGCGACAAGGTTTTCAGCGCTTCTTTGAACAACCGGGTCGGGGTTGCTGCAGATTTGAGCTTCGCTGCCGAAGCTGTAGGCAATTGAAGGCCGCAATCTGCTCCTCGCAAATGGCCAAACCGGCGCCGATCGTTGTGACTTTTGAGACAGGAAAGTCAATGTTGTTCTGAACGAGTTTCAATGAAGAAATCTTGCAGAGCTTTAAGCGGTCCACCTCAGAAGCTCTAGACAAGTGCCATGAACAATTCTGGCGAACTTTCATTTGCATTTCGACCGTTCAGCGGTGTTGGGTTCATATCCCTCCCGAAGCATTGTCATATGCCCTCAGCACTGCTAACAACTCCGGGTATGGCCCTCTTTTCATGTCGCAGATTGGCGTCTCCGTCATGGTCCACGGCGACGACAAGGGCCTGGTGCTCCCTCCCCGGGTCGCCCCCGTGCAAGTCGTCGTGATCCCCATCCCCTTCAAGGGCCTCAGCACGGATGAGCTCAGCGCCGCGTCCGCTGACATCACCAAGCAGCTGCGAGCGGCCGGTCTGCGGGTGAAGGAGGACGCGCGCGAAAACTACTCTCCCGGCTGGAAGTACAGCCATCACGAGCTGAAGGGAGTGCCCCTGCGGCTGGAGCTGGGGCCGAAGGACCTGGAGAAGAAGCAGGTGAGGACTGGGTTTGTGAAAATCTGGGGGTTAGCGGTGAGGTTTATGCGGCATAGAAGCATCTCATGCGGCTTTCTGGCGGGTTTGGGGGGAGCGCTTACATTTACCGGCCCGGACGAGTAGGCAATTGAGACTTCATTCCTCGAAGGACCCTTCACTTACAGTGAACTCTCAGCTTTTACGAGATGCTAATAGAAGATGCTAATGCTTAAAACGGCCGAACCCTGCGCTGACGGGAAAGAACAACTGACTTGTCCTCCACAGACGAGTCTCCGTTATCCCGGCAGACTTATAAGAACGTCACTGTGAGCTCGAGGAATAGAAGCCTCATGAACAGAAAATCTCTGGAGGGGGGGGCTCTGAGAATCAAGCATTCTAAACGTCCTCTGCAGCCGCAGCTAGTCCGATTGCACACCGGTGCCAAGGAGGAGCTCCCTTGATACTCCGGGGGGTAAAATTAAGCACCAACCCCCTTGCAGGCGCGGCTGGTTCGACGGGATACGGGCGCCAAGGAGGACGTCCCCTGGGCGGACCTGACGGCCCACGTGGAAGCCGTGCTCGCGGACATCCAAAAGAGCATGCTGGAAAAGGCGCGCGCCGAGCTGACGGCCAACATCAAGACGATCACCAAGTGGGACGACTTCATCCCCGCGCTGAACGAGAAGAAGATTGTGCTCGCGCCCTGGTGCGACGAGATGGTGAGTGGCGGGGGGGTGGTAAACGTTTCGTTTTGGGGGGGTGGGGGAGAATGTTTTCTACTGGGGGGTGGAGCGAAAAGGAGATTGTGCTGGGGCCCTGGTGCGACGAGATGGTGAGTTTTCGGAGGGGTGAGGCAGAGGGGTTCTTTTAGGGGGAAGGGGGTGAGAATGTTTGTTCTGCTGGGGGGTGTGAGACGAGAAGAAGATCGTGCTCGCGCCCTGGTGCGACGAGATGGTGAGTTTCGGGGGGGTGAGGCAGAGGGGTTCTTTTAGGGGGAAGGGGGTGTGAAGGTTATTTTGCTTGGGGGTGTTGAACGAGAACGAGATCGTGCTGGCGCCCTGGTGCGACGAGATGGTGAGTGCCGGGGGGTTGGGGTTGAGGACTGGTTTTGGTTGGCGTAGAGAGTTGGTTCTTTGGGGGAGGAGGGGGATAGGAGAGTTTCTGTTTGGGGTGTGCAACGAAGAGAACGTTGTGCTGCGCCCTAATGTGACGAGACGTGGAGGGTGTAAGGTGGAGGGTTTCGTTTTTGGGGGGGAGGGGAATAGGAGTCGGTCTGTCTTGAGGGGTGGATCGAGACTGAGGTTTTGGGGGCGTCGGCTGTAGGGTCGTCTCGAGCGGGAATTACTGGGCTCTTCATGGGGGTAAAAAAAGACGAAACGAATGTGCTGGCACCTTACCTCAACCAGTTGGTAAATTTCGGGGGTAAAGGGAGGGGGCTATCATGGACAATAGCGGTGGGGCCGTCCACGAGGCGTAGGCTGTGAGGTATAGGGGACTAAGCGATGCTGGCGTCTCTGATATGGGCCGTTTCGAAGTGAACTGCTGAAGCCAACGGAACTCTAGTACGCGCGTGGAAGTGCTCACTTGCTTGTGGTGCTCACTCGTACCCTGCTTCATATGTTTTCTGTTCTTGCGCTGGGATGGCGGTGACGGTTCCTTTGTCTTGGTCTGGCAATTTCGAAAACGCTCTGAACATAGCAAAAAGGGCTCAATTCTAAGGGTTTTATCATTAGGCGATAGCGTAAATGATTGAGGTTTTCCATTCGTCAACCAGTAAGTTTGCTCCTTTGTCTTCTTGTGTCCCTAGTAGGACAACGATCGGCCGTGTCTGGGATCATTAAGATCGTTCTTTCCAAAGAGTCTTTACTGGTGAAGGTGCGCAAGTGATGAAAGAAGATAGGGACATCCGACTCCTTATGGAAACTGCGGACAAAGCATCTTCATTGGGAATCTCTCTGATGCGCACTCTTCCCGTTGCTCGAGGTTTTCACCGGGAAGTAAAGTAAGCAGAAGTCTTCCTGGATGTAAGCTAATGGAAAGTCCCTAATCCACCCTAGGAATCTGTGTGCCAGCAGCCTCCTGCGTCCGCCTTATGGACCGGGCATAGTATAGACCGCAAAGGGTCTTCCTTCGGAACGCAGTGCCGCAAATCAGTCTTCGATCTACCCACGGCCGGCAGGACGATCACCATTCTAGATAAGAGACCTGACCGTTGTGGACCATGGGAAAAGCAAAATCTCAACTTACAAGATGCCTTCGTTTGCTTCACAGGCGGTGGAAGATGACGTGAAGAAGCGGAGCGCAGCCGGCGAGGGGGGTGCCGCCAAGACGCTATGTATGCCCTTCGACCAGCCAGGATTCAAGCTGCCTGAGTTGGCCGAAGGTGAGGGACTTGACGCGTTCTGGTCGCAGGTTTCTTTTCGGACTGCGGTTTTTTTTTTGTGAAAGCGCGACTAATGGTGAAGTTTGGTATGGAGGTTGTGGTCAAGACACAAGGACAGCAAAGGTTCTACTTGAACCCAGGATGGGTAGGATCTCTGCTGATAAGCGAGCGATCAAAAGTTTGTGCAAAGGTCGAAATTGGGCGTTAGCTCAACCGCTCAAACAAGGAAATTGACGGATTTGTGTCCTCGCAAAAAGTCAAGTGAGGTTACGATGCAGTGGGTTGAAGCAGGCACCCAACAATCATGTGTCGCTCTATTCCGCTGAATGTTGCATAAAGGAGGTGAAGTTTTGTTTCCTGATCAATGCTGTTTTCCGTCTTTCCAGGCACTCTCTGCTTCGCATCTGGAAAGCCCGCCAAGAAATGGGCATTGTGGGGGAGGAGTTATTAGGCCTTAGCTCTTCCAGTGGTAGTTGACCGAAAGTTGACCGATGACTTGCTGGCTGGCGTTCCACTTGTTTAACGATGGCCGTGTCGGCCAATCTATCGGTGCTCTACAGCTTATGTAAGCCCGATTGACTGTCAGATTGATGCGTAAAGAGAAGGGGCACTGCGAGAATGAACATTAAGCAAGATTGCTGCGACCACGATGCCCGCAATGGCCTGTAGAGGCCGCCATTGTAAGGCATTGACTCAGGTAAACTGCTGCACGTTTCAGAGCAGTTTGGTCATGTGCATACTTGGCTTCACATAGTCAACTTCTCTCATGATGCAGCCCACAAGTAATAAGCAGCTAGGTTTACGTATGAGATTGAAGAAATACCCGTCACACTGTGCATGAGAACCCTGCACAATTGTTTTAGGGTCCTATACGTTATGTGCCATGCGTCGCGCAGCAGCTGAGAATACTTATGCAACATGGCTAGGCGGCTCAACGTTGGATCGACGGGTAAGCATGACACTAATGCCGCAAAGACGTGCATTATATGGATGCACTATCTGCAGGACTACGTATCATGATTGCCTGCCATGCAGGCTGAATATCTTAACAGGTCAGTGTGTTGCCGCTGCATGATGCATCGAGCTCTTCTTCTTGACTCCAGTACGTTCTACAGATTTGGGCACTCTGGCATGCGCTTTTGACCACCGACAAGATGACATAGGCTGGCCTAGTGTCTGGACATGCTGAAAACGACTCGGTCAGCATGATTGCAATTAAGATCACCATGATTAGTACAAACTCTCAGCTTTGACACGATATTACTCCAGTCGAACGAGAAGAACGTAACAAACACTAATCTGCCTCTCCCAGCCCGTCGCTGCCGTCTCTGCTTTTCTGGATAGGCACAAAGGCCGTGGTTACCGGTGGTGGACCGCCCTGCTGACTCCGCTCGGCGTTCGCTCGGAGGACAGCCCCGGGCGATGGGTACGGCCGCTGCTGGAACAGGGGACCCTGCAAGAGAAAGATATACACGTTACGAAGCGTACAAAGCACCTGCTGATACTATGCACTCGGAAACTTTTGAAATGCGAACACTGGGAAGGGAACAGCGACTTCAATACGGCGTGTTGACGAGAATGTTGCAAGATCGTGGCCAGATCGTGAAAAGAATATACTGGCAGATCGGCTGGCTTGGTGTTCGAGTGAGCTCCGGAGGAACATAGTACCAGGCCCCGGTTCAAAGCGCCGGGCTCAAGACCTTCAGAACGCAACCACGCAGAATCCAGGTTCACGGCGGTCAAGACGGAGCTCCAGAGCGCTCACCGTTGCAGTCGTGTCCGCCGCACGTGGGGCGATCCCCTTGAGCCCCGTGCTCCTGGAACAACATCACGCCACGTCAGCTCAAGCACTTGTGTGCATTACACACTAGACCCGTACTCACTTCCGTACAAAAGCCGGACTCCAAATGCCAGTATGAAGAGCGCATTTGTCGGAGGGGAAGCAGGCCGAACATGGCAGAGGCCCTCCAAGCGACCACTGGCTATCCCAAGGAAAGCAGTGGCTTTGTAAGACGAAAAGAAGCTCGCTCATGAACAACTGGTCGTCGGTGCTTGCCAATCCTTCAAACACTATTGCACTTGTGTCTGACAAGCGCCAGCCCTTCAGCTTGCTGTCGAAGAAACGAGTGAAGATCCACAAAAGGAACAGCACCCACTAAGTTGCTGCTTGGACGATTAGTATCCTGTAGCTGTTGAGCAAAAGGAGTCAGTGCAATTTTCACGAACGCTCACCAGCCCCCCCGCGGCGCGTCCGAGTACGAGCTGGGGTCCATTGGGTCAAGCACGCCCGCGTCCTCCGCGGGCCGCCTCCTCTTCCCGGGGGCTCCTCCTGTCGGGGCCGGTCTGCATCAACGGCTCACATTTTAGGCCTTCAGCAGTCACGGTTGATAAAGGCTTTTCATCACTTGGCGAGAGTGTGAGGTCATCTGCGGACCTCAGGACCAATATGAAGGTAACAATTGCTTTCGTCGCTGAAGGTACACGGCCGGTACGAGATGTTGTATGGAGAGGGAGTCTACCAGCGTGTAATGGGATCGGGATGCGGGGCTTGAGTTCCAAGCGGGTTTTTCGATCTACGCAATGGGCACTTTTAAAGGTGTGTGGAACTTGGCGATGGATTAAAAGACGGTTTGACGTCAGCCGCTGATGCCCACAGCGTCACCTTGTAAATGAAGTCTGATCTTGGACGAGAGATTAAGCCGGAACTTCGAGCAAAAGAGACACCAAAGGGGACAGACAATTGCTGTCGAGCAAGCTGCCAACCGCCGGAAGTACTGCTCGGCTAGCATGACGTTTCGTAGCTCGGACACTGAGCGGGCCGCCGCCCGCTCTCGATAATGCTGGCATTGTATATTGCAATGATCTCAGGAAGAGGCCGGAGGCAACTTTCGACCAGGACTGAGAAAGTGGCATCTTTACGAATCCAGCTAAGCAGCCAATCGCCAGGAAGACCAGCTCGGTCCGACAGTGAGCGAAAGGACTTCGCATGGACCTCGAGAACACATCCGACCGTCTGGAAAGAGGCAGCTCGGGACTTCAAAAGGTCAGAAAGCAAGAAGAAACCACTATCTAAAAACCGACAGAATTGACCATGAGGAACTCAAGCTCACCTCGACGGTCCCGGGGGTGGCTTTCTGGGCGCCTCAGTCTTCACCGCAGTCTCGACCTTGCCCCCCTCTTTGCCGCCCGCCGCCGCCGCCGCAGCGGCCCGCCTCTCGGCGCGGTTCATTGGCCGCTTGCTAGCTTGATCCTCTTCGTTTGCTTTTGCCACGTCTTCCTGCCATTTGTACTTGAAGTCCGAGTCCCCGTTCTCCTCTGGCGTCGTGGGCTCCGGCTTCTTTTCCGAGTGGTTGCGCTTGACACCGGGGCTGCTTTCGGGGACGGCAATGCCCAGAAGCCTGCGGAGAGTGTCAAGAGGAGGAGCATGAGTTCTCGTAGCTCTTGTTTTGATTGCGCGCCTCCTGAGAGCACAGAGCTTTGGCGCCGAGAAAAACTTTCAACACGAAACTGTGTCGTAAGATTTCAACCATCTTAGTAACCGGACACTGCAGGAATTACATTGCAAGCGCTTGCAAGCGCAACACAGTACCCAAAATCAGTTCAGCCTTCTTTCCATCTCGAGCAATCATGCAGCTCCTCGAAGAGACACATTTGAAGGCTGAGAACTTATCACACAATCGGAACCGAAAACGGTACCCGGGTTCTCAGCCCGAAGGCTTCACCTAGAGCAATGATTGCAATGTCCGTTGGCCGTGACAAGCCCCCGGCCCCATCCTCCGCAGTGTGCGCACTTCTTGAATTTGGACGCGGACGTTTCGGACGTGACAATTTCGGGCGCAGCGCTCTTTTCGGACGGCGCCGGATGAGCGTTCGGGGCTGCGGCAGGGCCTTTTGGCCGCTCCCAGGTGGTTTCACCAGTCGTATCGTGGTAGTAGTACTTGTGGCCTGGGAACGATGGGTGGTGTCAATAGTGAGGAATGGGGCGCGAAAGTCGGGAAGACGAGCAATTGTATGGTTTACATGGTTTCTTCTGGTGGAAGTTTTCGTGACTTGCAGAACGCAGAATATCGTTCATAATACGAGGCTAATCAGGTTACACTGTCTCGTAGTGTTTTCCTCTTTATCTAGGAAAATTTGTTTTAGCCACAAATAGCTCGCAGGAGTCTGCTGACTGGCATACGTGGGAAATCGAACGGTCTCGTAATCAGCTGGCAGACGAGTGCCGTGGACTGAAAGGCAGTCTGTTGGGCGGGTCACGATGTCCCAACAATCAGTGGAGCAAGATCTACGAGATGCACTTTTCAATCGTGTGCATGGTTCAAATGTCAGATTTGCAATCCTTAAGCGCAAGCCAGCAACTGCACCTACTCAGTATCCCTTACGAAAAGGAATAGCGGAAACCTTCTACACAATTCAGGAAGCAAACTAGTCGATAAAGTTTGATCTCAACGTAGATCCGCACCTGTTTCGCTGTCAACTGCCTCCTTCCACCCCGTAGGGAGGCCAGGAAGCTTCGGGGGGGGTGGCGGCGGGGGCAACGAGACCCCCCCAGAACGGCTTGCCGGCGGAGCCGGGCGCTCCCATTGGCTCTTTCCCGAAGGGGTGTGGAAATAGTAAGGGACGCCAGTGGCGGGATCGATGCCCTCAACCCAGTCCGGGGGTAGCGGTGTTTGAGCGTTTGAGCTGGCAGTCGGTGTCTGTAAAATTATACAGAAAGGAATGAGCTGGACGACTGGCCGCTGAAGGTTCAATTTGCGACATCCGTAAGTGTGTGTTTGTTCAGGACCCAAGCGATCCTGTAGGAGAAAGCATTCAGAAGAATTCTGGAATCTGCACTGAATCCCACCGCGAAATTACAAGACAAGAGCGCCTTGCACTTCAAGCTTCGAGTAGCTGACATTTGCAACCTCGATTTCACGGTCAAAAGCGTAGATGCTCAAAGCAAAGCACATCTTTCGGAAAGAGCTAAAGCTTATGCCGCCTCATGGAAGCATCTTCCCTACAAAAGCGAAGAACGAGGAGGTGGCTTGAACAACGAGACCGCATGCTTTCTGTCAAAGCGTAGAGACGGAATGTAAACGAAGTTGCCTAAGTCCGAGAAGCCTTTCAAGCATCAAGCAGTGAAGCCGTGAAAGCTTTCTCGGTTCTTAGAAGAGACCTAGCGGCCGCTCGACGAACCGCGGATAACGTTTGCTTCGCTTCTCCGCCAACCCTGTGGCGCAGCTGTGCTACCCTGCAAACGACGCAGTAAAGCAAAAACCACTTCTCACCGCTGCAGGCGCCCTCGCTCCCCCTTCAGCCGACCCCTCCTTCAGAATCCCCCGTGCCTTCAGCTTCCGCTTCAGATACTCCGGCAGATCTCCCCCGGGCCCTGTTCCCCCACCCTCCGACCCACTGGTAGAGGCGCTCGCGTCGCCATTCCGAGCGTCCGGGCCGTGCACAGGGCCTCTCCCGTTCTGAGGCCCTGTTTGAGCGGGTCTCGCCGCAGGTCCGGGGCCTTTTGGCTGGAGCGCGGGGGAGAAGCCGGTCGGACGAGGCCCTGAGGGAAGTACGGACGAGGGGAGCGAGAACATCTGGGCGCGCGCGGGGTCGTAGCTGCCGCCGCCCGGAACGCCGTAGCCGTTGCCGATGTCGGTCATGCCTGGGGATGACGTCAGCGTGACATCAGCGGTCATATAATTGTCCAACAGAGTGGCGTTCAGGAAAAGCATGTTCAGTTTACAATGATAGAAAGAAAAGTGAGATGGCTTGCTCCTATGAAGTGATTATCAAGAGCAGAGCATACTCAGAATACAAAGGTACAAAGTAGGCTTGTAAGTATGAGGTAAATCATCGAAAGCAGAGCAAGGACGTACCTTTCCCGACGGGCTGCTCCACAACGCCCCGCTTGGTGGCCTGCTCGACCCGTTGCTCCTGTTGCATCTTCAGAAGCTTCTCCTGCAGACAAGAAGAAATAACGGGGTTGTGAGTTTGTATTTCTTTGTGCCGCAACTTCGACCATGTTTCTGCTCCTAGATAAAGGTGAAATTTTCCCGCAGACTTCTGTGATTGCACCAAGTAATGAAACGACTCTAGTAGAAGCTTACGGTGTCGTCTACTGGGTCAGAGTAGCGGGGCGGGATAAGTTTTACTCTGCTGTCGAAGATGCCAGAGCCCACCTTCGGCAGAGACAGGTGAGACTTGGGTGCTATAGACAGTTCGATGGTAGTAATACCAGGGGCGGGGTACTAGAATCCAGGATCGCGGCACTCTCTTTGTTGCAACTCAGCCCCGTGCTTCGGAATGATGACAGGAACTAGCGCATCAACCGGGAGAGCAAGTCAGCAACTTAGTCTGCAAAATCTCTTCCATACATCCAGCTTACTCCAGTTCGTCCATACGCATCCTCGAACAACAAACAATTGAACAGGACAAGGAGGACAGCTGAACACTTGCCTTGAGGGCCGTGGGATCTTGCTGGTTCCTCAAGGGATCGTTCCCGTCGCTCCACTGGCCGCTCTGTTGGCTCGTTCTCAAAGTACCTTCCAGACTTGCATCCTGCATTCAGAGAACCATCACAAGATTCAGAAGGTGATGGTGAAGGGACCAACTTGAAAGGTTCTCACTTGACGTCTCACATCAGTGTTTGCAGTAGCCAGCGCGGCTCTTTAGTGTGGGGATAATGTTACGGTCTGCCTTCAAACAGACGGGATGTAAGCACTTGCACATGGAAAATCCTTAGATCAAGTCAAAATTATCAAATTTCCAACATGCTGACTCCGAGCAAGTCGATGAACAAGGAGAGAAAAAAAAGCAATCGATGAAATCAGGGGCATGGTCACCCAAGGATTCCAGGGGACATTGTAACGATTTGCCGGCCTTGCCTGTTCCTTCAGCACCGCTGCAGTGACTGCCTCCTCCATTGGATCCTGCGGTCCCCTCTCCGGAGCAGGGTCCCACCGCGACCTCTTCTTTGGCTGGCCTTCGGCGCCTGTTCCCCCTGCTTGCTCCGGGGCCCATGGGCCAGGTGCGAATGCACTCTGCCGCTGCTGAGGGGTAGCGCTTAACCCTGCTTGACCGTGAGGTGGCTGGGCATGGGGCCAAGGCTGGCCGTGAGGTGGTTGTGAGTACGGGGGTGGGTTTGGGAGGCCCTGTTGCCGAGGGGGCGCGCCAGCGGTGTAGGGAGAAAGTGCACCGATGGGAGGGCCGGGGGGAAATGCAGGGCCTCCACCTTGAACCCCTGCATTGACAAAAACAGGGTGGGGAATGAAGCAGTGCATATGGACTCATTGATCAACATGCAGGCGCCCATTGTCGGGTGCGCAGCAAGGGGCAGAAGGTCTGGCGAATTGCACGAGACCTCAGGTGAAACAGCGGCAAGCTTTACCAGTGGGTTTGTTGCTAATCATGCACTTCCACCAGAGAACTTTTCCTTGCGGCAAATCATACGTGTTTGGCCATCCTAAGTATCTTCAAGTTTGTCACTTCAAATCCCGTATCCTACAGGGTGCACCCTTGGAGTTCTTAATCCTAGTTTTGTGGATTCGCAAGGTGAAGTTCAATAGGCCTGACCTGCATAGCCTCTGAAGTGCTGGCCTTGGAAGCCATTCCCCTGGGGTGGAACAAAGCCCGGCTGGTGGTACTGCCCAGCCCCAAAAGCGGTGTGGGACTGAAATGGGGTTGCCTGGGGTTGGCCGTTTTGATGAGGCATTCCAACAGCACCATTTGCATCTTCTGCCTTCTGAAATGGAAGGAGAAAGGATCAGCATTTCTTCTCTGACGACGATCAAATGACGCCCTGTCTGCGAAAGCCAGAGTTGCCAACTTCGCCGACCAGAGTCGTTGGTCGCCAACAAATCTCCGATGATTAACAGAATGAACAATGGAATAGTTATGCCATTGCGAGCTCAATGAAAGCAGCACCAGTGATAGGTAGTAGTTGGCAAACATGTTTCAGTACGCAAGTCTCTGGCAGAGACTTTTATATCAAGCTTATGGAGTTACCACTCTTTAGCACAAACCACAGACGCTGACACTATGCCAGATGCAACCTGCAAAAAAAAGCTCACTGCCTGGAAATCTGAGCAGAAACTCTGATGTGGCGCATTCATTGCTGCATTGTCTCGTCTACATTACATTCCAGCACGGCAAACTTCAAACAAAAGATTTGCCACAATCGATGCGTGGGATGCAAATTTTGTACTTCGCAAACTATGTCGCCCAGAAAGTCACGATAGAGCGGGTATTGCATCACCTTCATCCAGGCCGGCATGGTCATCTCCCGACCTCTCCCTCTGCCCGCCATTTTGAGTTCTGTTGATGGATGAAAGCCAATTGTGCAAGCGCCTGACCAGCTTCTGGTTCTATTTCATTTACGTTCTCTTATGTGAGCCCATGAGCCTCGTATGCCCCAAGCTTGAGCAATTCTCTGACGACTCATCAACGGAAAGCATTGGCTTCAACCGAACAAAACTTCCATTCCTTAAAGCTTCACGTCAGGAATGGCACCCCCCAGACTAGCTATTTAACAACTGAGTGGAAGGGGCTCAAATAGAGATCCCCTGACGCCAGAAAGTCACGGGTGCTGAGCAAAGGCGTCCACGCATTGGCACTTTGACTCTGAGCCTTCTGCTCAAAGTGGGCGTCTACACTCGCGAGTGCACTTGCAATCGGACGGCAATGAAGCACGAGTTGAATCTATCGGACGATGCTCACTATGCTAACCTGTGCCGTCGTCACGCTTCGGCGATGCCGACGGCGTGACGCCTACGCCCACTTCAAGCTCAGCAAGTGCCTGGCAAGAAGCTTCTCCATTGAATTTGTGTTACAAGGACCCATATCCACCGGCGGCGGTATATCCAGGAGCACTTTGCAGGCCATAGGCATGTACGGTATGCGTAGGACACAACCTGTAAGCATACCGTATTATCTGTGCAATCTAGGTCTGGATATTATTTGGACACTTCGCATTTTTCAAGGAGGTCGGTAGAAAGGTCGGAAATATCTTCTTAAATGTTAAGAGCAGGCAGCCCTTATCGATTTTACATGGTTATGACTGGGGGAGATGAGCCCTTATATAATACTCTTGCTCATCACAGTGCTGTGGGCCGTGGCAGCATTTCTCAATCACAGCTCGCTTGGCTGGAGTTGAAGCAATCAACTTCTTGCTGGATGCCTGTGGAGCTTCACGAATCACATCATCTGGTGATTGCTCCTGGTGCTGTTATTACCATGGCGATCACCGTGCATATCAAACCCTCCACAGGTGCAAAATTCTCTGTGGATGTTGATGTTTCACAAACGGTCTTGGAGTTGAAAGAGAAACTGGCGGAGAAGACAGAGATCCCGACGCCCCAGCAGAGGCTGATCTACAAAGGAAGGCAAGCGGCCAATCATCCCTAGCCCTGTTCCCAATGTTAGTGCTTCTTTCCAGGACAGAAATCGAGCCGTGGTTAGGCAATTGGGGGTTGAAAGAGATTGTGACAAGGTGTTGATTGTGGCAGATTGCAGATTGCCTTGTGACCTAGCTGTTTGAACTGAGATTGTGGTCCTCAATCTGCAGGGTGCTAAAGGATGAGCAAACGCTGCAGGGCTATGGTGAGTGCTTTCTTGCAAATATGGCGTCCTACTTCTCATCGTTTGATGTCAAGTCTATTATTTTTTGTTTGTGATGATGCCATCATATCCTTCATATGCAGATCTGTTGTCCATGCCTTGTTGTCCACATTTCCCCACCCTTTGTCACCATTTACACAGAGTGGTGGCATAATCCTACCTGATGTCGGCCGTGCTCCTAGCATTGTTTCTGAAGGAATACTTGGACTAATGTCCCTCTTTATCATTCACCAGTTCCCATCTGCATTCTTATGGCAGGCCTTGAAGCCGACCACACCATCCACCTGGTCAAGGGTGGCGCCCCCCCCGGCTCAACTCCCGCCTCGTCCTCCGCCTCCCCTGCTGCCCCCACGACCTCAACAAACCCTCCGGCAGTGCCTCCGGGCCTGGGAGGGATAGGGTTTGGCGGTACTGGCGGCACCCCCAATCTGGCTGACATGCAGCGCCAGATGACTCAGAACCCCCAGCTCATGCAAGAGATGATGAACAGCCCTGCGGTGCAAGCGATGATGAACAACCCCGAGGTCATGCGCACAATCATCAGCGCGAACCCCCAGCTGAGGGAGGTGATGGACCGCAACCCGGAGCTGAATCACATCCTGAACGACCCGGCCACGATGCGTCAAATGATGGAGGCGGCGCGCAACCCGGAGATGATGCGCGAGATGATGCGCAACACGGACCGGGCGATGAGTAACATCGAGGCGCACCCCGAGGGGTTTAACATGCTCAGGCGAGTTGTTGGTTGAAGCTTCTCTCTTCTTTGTGGTGTTCTCATATTCATTTGGGGGTTTTTGTTTATACAAGGAGGGGCATCAACGTGTCTGACCGGTACAGAGAAGTTTGGATTGTTGTAACTGCGGACTGCTGGTCGTACTCCAGTGTTTTGTAGTCACAGGTTGGTACATTGTCACACGCAATTGCCTCTTTCACAGTTTGAATTTAAGAAGATGTCCAGTTGATGTCCAGTTGCTAGTGAAGGGCGGTTCATAATGAAGTCCAACCTTCCGTTATTCGTAGTCCTTACCCTTCGGAGCCGCCAAGGTTCAATAGGGCCCTGTCCCATAAACTTACAGACTACTTGCGGAGAATTGGTGCTGCTTTCGCAGTGTTTACCAGCCATTGCATAAATTGCACACGATGCAATCCACAAGCGATGGCAAGGTGCTATGTTGTAGCTCAATCCCCCGGCGTCAAACTTGGGAGTGTCATTGACGTTGACAATCCGTCATTCACTACCCTCAGGCCTGATTTTGGCTCCACATTTGCTATCAACTCGTGCAATGGACCCTGTCTTTAACACGAAATGGACCTTAGAATCAACAGGAGATCTGATCCTGACTCCCACCTGCAGAAGGATGTACGAGAACGTTCAGGAGCCCCTCATGGAAGCCGCTACCCACCGCCCAGAAGGGCAGGCTGATGCAGCAGCCAACCCGTTTGCGGCCCTCTTCAACGCCCCGGGTCAGCAAGCAGGCCAGCAGGCGCCCGCCCCAGCAGCCGCGGACGGGGGTGCAGGCCCGAACGCTGCGCCACTTCCCAACCCTTGGGGGCCTCCATGTGAGTCGCTGACATGATCGTTTCCTCCCGAGCAACACGAATTGCCTCGGTGTTATTATTGAGCCCCCTGGTTGGTACCTTTGCGCAGCGGGAATGTGTTCCTGGAGTAATGACATGTGGACAGGGCAAACCTTTAGGATCTACTGACCGGTTAGCCTCGATCCATTGCGGCCTGGTCCATTGCTCCCACTTGTTCAACAGTTGCGACCTCACTCACTTCGTGAGCCACTTCTCTGCCCCCTTAGCCCAGTCCTAACCAGACAAGTCTTTCTTGGTGCAGCGACTGCAGCTGGGGCCGGCACTGGCGCCGCTCCGCTGCCTGCCGTCAACCCTCTAGCTGGCTTGGGGCTGGGTGGCCTCGGAGGAGCGGGGGGCTTTGATGGTATGGGCGTGCAAGGCGGGGGCGGCAGCCTGGGGCTGGGCATGGACCCCGCCCAGATGGCGCAGATGATGCAGAACCCGATGATGCAGCAGATGATGCAGCAAGTGCTGTCCAACCCGCAGGTCATCCAGCAGGTGAGCTTGGCACGTGTTTGAGGAGCTTTTCCAAAGGTGTCAAATCGTGTAATGTATCCGCAAGCTGCTGGAATGTCTTCTCTTGTGGACTGATTATCCGAGAATCAGGAGTCTCGAAAGGCGTCAACTTGCAAGTTTGGCACGCATGGCGTATTTGATTTTGCGAGAAGTCGTGATTCCGGGCCTTTCTGCGTACGCTACAATTGCAGTGTTGCAACGAGGATTGAGCACTCTCAAACTGATTAGCAGGAGAAAAAGAAGTCGGAGTTGTAGAGCCAGTTCATTGACTCGAAGTGCTGTCCTCGTTTCGCCTGTTCTTGCAGCTGATTGACTCCAACCCGCAACTTCGGACGATGGTGGACGCCAACCCCCAAATGCGGACGATGCTCTCCAATCCGGAGTTTCTTCAGCAGATGACGAGGCCAGAGACCCTGCAGGTAGGGTTGCACTTCTCGTCGAATTGACAACTCTGTTGGAATTGGATCGTCAAGTTCTCTCGGCCCAACGTGTCGAACAAGGTTCCATGTTTGTTAGGAGGTTATAGGCGTAGCATGCTTCTCATCGTCAAAGCTCTTACGTGCTATTTCTTCTCCCTGGCAACCTTTCAGGGTTCAGATTAGAAATGGTGTCCATTGGCGACAGATGAAGAGTCCGGGCTTTTCAGCTAAGCCCGACACCATGACCATACAGGCTGTACACGAGGTCTCGTGCTTGCGGTTGCGATTGACACGTCCGATCTGTGTTCAAACAGAGGTCAACGCATCTCTTAAACAGACTGCCTTTCTATGTGCAGCAAGTGGCCCAGATGCAGCAGCTTCTCGGTGGAGCGGGCGCCGGGGGGTAAGTCCGTGTTCTGCTCACATCCTCTGGTTAAAAAGGTTGATTTGTGAAGCTAGTTTTGGGCAATTGCCTCATCACGAGGCAGAGGCTATATCTATTCTGATTGGTATTAGGGACGAGTATTGGCCCGCCAATCCGTCGATGTTTTGTTGACGCGATGTTAGAATGTATCTTCGAGCATGGAGTCATCCTCATGCAAGATGGTCGGTCTGCTGCTTTTCACACGATCCGAAAGCAGCTTCAGAAATTTAGAAGATATATTGTGGGCAAATTGCAGGGCCGGAGGGATGGACATGAACGCGCTTTTGGGAGGGATGGGGGGATTGGGAGGATTGGGAGGCTTCGGCGCTCCAGCCCAGCCTGCGGGTGAGTCTCGTCCTGTTGCGGGTCTGTCAGTATCAACTTGATTACGAGGAGTTGCCCAGACCGCTCGAGAAACGGGAATGCCGATACTGAAAGCGTGTGTACCTCCGCTCCTGGTACCAATGAAAAGAAACGTGTTTAGGCCTTTCAAAAAGGACATCACCAGCGAGGTATCGAACGGTCCCCCCACCTCGTCCTGTTTCGTCTGGTGATGTTCAACCGCATCTGGTTGTCACCAGTCCCCCCCAAGTAGGCAACATGCAGGATCGCCTTAGCAAATTCTGCTATAGAGGACGTAATGCTAACCAAGTCACGCCATCTGTGTGTATAAGATAGTAACGGTCACCTTTAAAGCCCTACGTTGACTGCGGGGCTATCGATCTGCCAGTCCGAAACCTCTAAATAATGAACAACTTATCTATAAACCAAGAACATATAAAGGCTTGGCAGTCTGTCTTTATAGAAGGTGAGCGTGGACAAGTGAAGAATTGCACTGGAATGGCGTGTGGCGTCAGTCACGTGAATCGGTTTCTTTTTGGTGCGCAGGACCTCCAGAGGAGGTGTATGCCACGCAGATCCAGCAACTGCAAGACATGGGCTTCTACGACGTCCAGGTGAGCGGGCTCCCAATGAAAGTAGATTTTTCTAGGAACACGCAATCAGACAGGCTGCATCACAGGCTGCATATTACCTGCGCAATGCAATGGAAGACAACCGGGTTGTTATTCCTGGCCTTGGTTTCTTGTAGTGCTGTCAGTGTGCAGTAAAAGGTCTTTTCTATGGAATAGCTTCAATGCTGATTGAGTGCTCCCGTCTCAATTGCCCCCGGCTTGTCCTCGGAAATATTAAGTTTGGTTGGCCGCTTGTGTGACTGCGAAGCAAATCAGAGAGTTGACCACGTCCTACATCTGCACGTGAACAGCTTTGAGCTTCTCACAAGCTCAATGTTTCCAAAACCTCAATTTACTAGTCAGAAAGTTGACGGAGTGGCTTGCTTACGGAAGCTCGTCAAAGCAGCACAACTGGTTGCCTGTGACTCACTTTTACGATTCTCCTACTGCAGGAGAACATTCGCGCGCTACAAGCTTCGCATGGGAACGTCAACGCAGCGGTCGAGCGTCTTCTGCAAGGCCCCGGCTAATGCGAGATACTTCGGTTTCCATCCATTCCATAGGTCATGTCCAATATGTACAATGTCGTAAGCAGGATTTGGTAGGGCCGCTGGTCGTGAGCCGGGCCGAGCGAGAGTTTACGGCCTAAGGCTTATCAGAACCTTATCAACGCCTGCATAATCCACAATAATGCCTCTCTGATTGATGCGTCTACACTCAGTGTATGGTGATACATAAGGGAAATAACGTGGTATCAGTCGTTTGTCTCACATGTTATAGCTCGCATCATCAAGTAATGTGCTTGCACAATGAGGCGATCAAGCCAAGCTATTCGTTGTCAATGGTATACATCCATGTGCTCGTGGTGATCCGATGGGCAAGCGCGGGTGCTTTAGGCAGTACATGGATGCGCTTACTTCGATTGTATATAATCGCAATGATGGCATGCACGATAGTCAATACGTGTTTGTTTGGGGAGCACGCATGCTGACCGGTATAAGTTGGACGTGCAATTTGTACCAAAGGGCCCCTCAGTGGCGGCCGTGTCCTCGCCGCGATCGACTCACTCAGCACAATGCATGACTAATTGATCACGATCTATAGCTGATGTTCCATGTGACCGTGCGCATACAATAACCTAGTTATACACAGAGGTCCTAGTGACAGCTTGCCACGGCACGGGGCTGAGGACGAGTGGGCATGCTCATGTCGTCGCGTGCATACATGTATTGATCTAACCCAACTTGACACTAACGAACTCTACTCGTGCAACGTTTGACTTTGTCTCACAATGATGGTCGGGCCCATGATCGAGACGAGTCCTGCATGGATGCAAGCCATACATGGCTAGCTTTCCACTAGCTGCAATTGAACTCGAGGGACAATGAGCACCGTCAGCTGGGCTTAGGCAGAGACTCCCGCTTTTTGACGAGTCCTTAAGATGAAAACCGATCCAGTAATGTGACAAGCCTTGGTGGGGATCACTGTACTAAGGCCTTGTAGATTGTCCTACAGACTTTTCATTCTTTGACATTCTACAAGCGGTCTCCATCCGACTAATTGCCAACCTCTGCTGGGAAACAAGAGTATGCAATCTAATTTACACCTTCTGTATTACTACACGTGGACGAGCCCTTTGATTACATACGTGCCCAACAAAAACCAGCCCGTGATCAGGCCCCCAAACACCGCCCACCCGACCAAAAAGTACCACCGCGCAACCCACACCCCAATACCCATCATGACTACGAAAGGCGCAAACGCCTTCACGATCGCCCACCCGCTGACCCACTGGCCTCTACACAAGATCAAAAACACCATATCCACAACGTTCCAGTTCTCCTTCCCTCCGTAGGCCATCGTGTTAAGGCACGCGGCCGCGAACGAGTGGCAGTTGCACGTGAAGATATTGTACTGCTGGTGTTGGTAGCGGCGCATCGTGGCCCGGAGGGAGTCGTCCCACGGGTTCTCGCCTTGCGGCAGATTGAGACTCGGCTGCTGGATGGGGAGCATGCTGGGCTGCGGGCCGTGTGACAGCTGGCAGCCACAAGAGATCACGGAGATCAGCAATTTGTTACGCATACAGCAGGACGAGAAAATGAATTTCATTGGACCGGGGACAGAGCAACTCGACCTCACTTGCACAAAAGATCAAGGGGGGCGGCAGATCGGATTAAATGGTGCATGAAAGTTCGTGATGTTCTGTAAGGAGGCAATAAAAGAGAAGGGCCAGCTGAGCCGGCGCGAGTGCAGCACAGATCACCAGTGTGTCTTTGGGAGTAGTACGTCAAAAAGACAGTAGCAGTTCATAGAGGGAGGTGACAGATCGAATCCCAGACAGTATCAGACGGTTTGCCCTTTTGGTTTCGAACCAAAAAAAAACAATGGCTTTCAGGAAAAGCATATGCTTGAAGTAGAGCTCCTGCTCAGGACGCCAAGCGAATTCCCAGACTCGAGGTCGCTGATCGTGTCTCAACTCTTCCTTTTCTGAGACTTGGAACAACATGGCGGGACAAAGTTCGGCAAGCACTCTCGCAAAGCTATTCCCGCAGAAAGACTATGCACATTCAGTGTGCATCGAGAAGACGTTCCGAAGGAGTACGGCGATTCTTAGTATCGGTGCTTGATTTTCTTTGGTGACTGCCAACTTCTTACAACTACGCTCGGTGACGAGTGTCAAAACAGGGGCCTCTTAGACTTCCTTGAATCTGAGCATCCACGAATTGTCCCCGTGCCTTTTGAACGAAGTGCCAGTCTTCCCTTCTCACCTTCTTCGGATCTAGCCGATGGAACCGTGCGGTCGCGCCGAACGCAAAGTTGTCGACGTTCACAAAGAACGGCCCCGCAAAGTCGAGGATCACACCGTTTGTTTGGCAGATGCCAAGATGCCCAATAAACGGCACCAGCCAGGCGACTATGGGGAGGGGGGTCCAGACGAGGCAGTATGGGAAGCGGGCATGGCGGGGGTCAACGGGAGATTCCTCGGGCAAAAGCGACTGGGGTTTGGGGCCGGATCCTACAGGGCTTTGAGATTTAACGGCTATGGTGTGGTGGGACTCCATGTTTGGCCCCCACAGCTTTTAATACCTGTCGAAGGGGAGCAGTTAGAGAATGTCAAGGTCCACCAGCATGGGTTGGGTTTGGTTTGAGGAATTTCGCTGGTACAGCCTTTTAGGGCATGTGCAACATGAGATGATCCCCCCAAGTAAGACTGAGCTTGCCTCTGGTTGAATACTTTGAAGGATTTGACAAGCTGCCAGCAAAGCGAGTGTTGGTAAAGACCATCAAGGAAAATTTTATCCAATCTGCCCATAAAAACACCGAAAGGTGATTTTGCTGTCTGCCTTCTCAAGTCGTGGCTGAGCTTGACGTTACATTTCTTCCTCAAAGAGATCCTGATCCCAAGACCTTTACAGATTGATCATAGGTTCAGGAGAACCATCGGGTTTGTGGAAGAAGCGGGGAAGTCCCGTTCGTTTTGCCCAGTTTCTCATTGCAGGCCGCTGCTTTTAGAGGATGCGACCTGAAGGCTGTTCACTCTGGTCATCGCTGGTTTACCCCTCACCGATTGTCAAACTGCAGAAGAGCCCCCAGTTCACAAGTGGGCAACCAATTGGTTGAAAAGAAGGTTCTGCAGTGCAATTTGTTGTGCATTGTCGCTCACCTCTTGCGTCAATGTAACTGCGGCGCCTTCAAACTGAGCCACACCGGTGTGTCACTTCGTGAAATCTTGTTGCTCGGATCTTATGCCCGCCCAAACCCCTGATTGAGGATCCAATGACCTCAAGCATCTTTCATTGCAACAATTGTGCAAGGGCTCCGAGCTCAAAGCCTCACAAATCGACCTTTATGTCTGTTGTCTAGATGACTTGTTTTTGCGCCTCGCAAACCAATCTAATTGGAACCAGTCAATTCATTCCAGCTGATAGGCGCCAGACCTCAGCTCCTGCAGCTCTCAAAGTTCTTAGCCGACCGACAGCAATACATAAAAACGCAGATGATCCAAAACCAGAGAGCTGCCGCCGCTGCCACCTAGCCGTCTTCTTGCCCTCATCTGCCTGAACCCCTTGCTGGCTCTGCAGCTCAGCCTAAGTTAGAAACTCGGCAAGCTCCTAGTCCTAGGCTTCCGCGTTGCCTTCAACTTCAACACCCTCAGGCTCATGTGAGGTCAGCTTGAGCTCAGCTCTCTCGAGGCGATCAGCCTCAGGCGTCTTTGCCTCTCTTTGCTAATCCGCCATGCAGTACTTTGGACGGAACGGAAGGGGACGGAATGGATTGTGTGCAAATAGTACTAATAGTAAACCCCTGCCCACAAAACCCTAAACCCCGCGCGGTGAGTGTGCGCCGCCGCCCGCGCTGCGGTCGGATCGAAATTAAGCATGCATGCCTTAAAACAAAGCGCGCTCTGGACCCTCAGGACCCTGCACATTGTCAAATGCTGAGTGCTAAGTTGGTGCAATCCGAATCTTCGAGTGATTAGCCAGGCGCCAACCTTCAAGAACATTGTGAGCTCCTTTTGATCACAATCTGCTATAAAACTTACAGCTCATGGCAGCTATCGCCTCAGCACGCATGCAGTGTCCATCCACCTCTTCAGATCACCACTGGTCTACGTAATTGGGCACCCCTGCGTCCCTGACTTTGACCCCACGACACGTCACCCTTCCTTCTCCTTGCAACTTCCCCTGTATGCGCTCAAAACACCGCTCTCGCACCTCGTGGCCGATTAATTACCATGGTGCTTTCGTGCGGACGTTGGAGCTTAGCGACCACCGAAAGTGGCTGTCTGGGCCGCACTGGCTCTGCTACGCCCGGTGGCATTCCCCGGGAGACCGGAATCCATGGGTTCCGCTGGAATCCATCTTCTTCCAGGCATGCCCGGGAGACGTGGCGCGCTTCTGCATGGCCGTCGTTGCCAACTCGACCAACCCCCCGCCGCCGCCTTCTACCGGGCTGCAGCACATCACCGGGCGGGTGGTGCTCATCTACGACGCTGACGCGAGCAGCTTCAAGAATGACGTCAGCGGCTGGGACGGCGCCGCCCCGGCCACGTGCTGGCTGCTCTCGGACCCTGTTACTGATGGATACCCCCTCTACCACGAGACCCACCACGTTGCTGCCCGGAGCGGTATGGGTGACTGGGACTGAGACCCCTCCGGGTTCTTCTGCCGAGCAGGGGAGGGGGAGAGCCTGCAGAAAGATATGCGCCCGTTGGAGTTTGCCGAGTGGTCCAGCACTCTGTATATCAAGGCGCGGGAGTACAAGGGGCGACAGTCGATGAGGGTCGGGGCCCCATCACCCGGGAACCTCACGTGGGCGCTAGAGGGCTCAAAAAATTGCGAAGTGGAGGAGGATACTGGGAAGGGAAGTAAGGAGACGAGTCGGCTGGTGAAGCTGGTCAAGAAGTGGAAACTCAACGCGCGTGCGAAGGACGAGGAGGACTCTGCAGAGAAGCATCCGCTGTCGGAACCTCTCCTGAAGCAAGTTGAGTAGCGTGCCCTAAGGTAGAGCGAAGAAGAAAGGAGGGAACGAAGTCGGTGGGTGAAGGGCCCGTGGTCGAAAGGTCTGTGCAAAGCCTACTAGGAGGCTAGGTCTGGGTTCACGGAACAGTGGGTCCTTCGTTCCTTTGCAGTCAAACAGAGAAGCTCATGAAAACCCCGAACTGGAGCAAAGTGCAGTGCTAGCGTTCGGAGATAGTGCAATACGTATCGGTCGGCCTTTTGCCGAAGAGGGCCGTGAAAGGTTTGAAAACAACTTGTGGGCTGCCAGTTTCACTGTCCAAGTAGATGTACTTTCCTTCATTGGGAGAGTTGTTTGCCGAGTATTCAATTATGCAACGTCGTCAATGTCCTCTCACATAAGCGGATCCTTGCAGACACATGGCTCATCATGTGGTTCATGCTACACGTGGTCAACGAAGCGAAATACCAAAGACTATTGTTCTGTTTTGCCGACGTGCCAGTTTGTTGTTTCGCTTTGCTCGATTCATGAATGCTAAGGTCAAATCTGCTGATAATACGATGGCATGCGCCGCCGTTCTCCGGTCATAGAAACCGCACGGCACATTTGCGATTGCACGTACATAGAAGCAGACCCTAGCTTGCCTGCTTGTGCAATCGTGGGCAACAGAATGAGAACCATTCCAGTGGATGTAACTCATGTATAACCTACGTCGGCTCTCCACAACCCCAACCGTCTATTTACCAGCTGCAAAGCCCAAGTGTTGAATCAAAACGATACTCTTGGGGCAATCAACTGGTCCAATCTAGACGTATAACCTAGACGCATCCGGGCCGTCACGTCACCTTTCAGAGTCGTTGGATTGCAGTGGCAGGCATGTGGGAGCATCTCAAAAAGATCCAGGCAAGGAAGCAGAGTTTCCAACTGGATATGGGAAGCTAGCACCAGCGACACCGTTGGCGGTCGAAAGACTCTGCTCAAAAGTTGGGTGGGCGTTTTCACATCTGTGTGCCGTCGGGAGTTATGAAGTACGTGTATCGGTGTGAATAGCCCTCGCGTCAAGACGCGCGGATCATCATCTGGCCGTACGGTTAGGTGACCACTCTGTCATCGCCGGACTATGAAGTGGTCACACAACAAGAAGAGCCCCTGAGTTTCTTCTACGAGCAAAGCTCCTCGCAAAGAATTGAATAAATGAAGATGTAAACGCAATTATTTTGCAGGCACGTACAAAGACATTGACGGCCGGGACTGCACTGGCAGTCGCCGCCTCTGTCCACGCAGATGAGCGCTTTTGAGAATAGTCTTTCCCAAACTATCCGCTTCGTTGAAAGGTCATATAACAGAAGCGCTTTGAGCGCGTGATCCGGCAACCGAGAGCGTCTCGATTCACAGTCCCGAAAAGTTCCTGATCAGGACTGTGGTCAGAGTGGTAATCTGCGGCGAGCGTTAGCCGTGACGTCACCACAAGTTCATCTATGCTAGCAAGTTGTCATTCATTAGAAGAAGATCGGAGAAAGCGAATAGGGACGAACGTCTCTGCGACTGCCGGCGTTTGGGCGAAGGAATCCGAAATATGGCGGACGGACACGCCACCTCGAAATCCATCACTACCGGGACTCACAACATCAGATTGGTCAATCGGATCGCAAAATATTGCTTTGTCCAGGACCCGCCTCAAAAGAAGGTGAGGCGGAGACTTCCAATGTGGCAACTCGATCCCTCACTTTCGATCATAGGCCTTCTCGAAATCTAGGACGTACCGGCGACTGAGACTATGTTGGAGAAAGCGAGCTCGAAATGTTCCTAAATCGGATGGAATGTAGGCAGAGATTGAAAATGAGTGGTATAAACCAGGTCCAATAGGTCCAATGAGTCTTATTGATGACTCTTATGTCTTACTTAACGTTTGAGAGAGCCCTGACTGATAGCAAGAGACGAGATTTCAATGAATGTTAGAAGACACACCGCGGAGGTTTGGGACAAGCGAAGTTGGATACAAGGGACAAGATAAGGGATCGTACGTCGAAGAATGAGCTGGCACGATATTAAAGCTTCATGTAGGTTCGAATCCGCGTTGCTTCAAGGATGGGCTCCCCTTCAAGGGTTTACTTCGAGCCCATATAGAACAGCATAAGAGCTGATCTGCCTGAAAAGTGCTTGCCAAGTCGTCTCGTCAGGTCAGGATCTAAGTCGGCCCACCTAACTTAACAGTCAGGCGATCGAAGTTGCGGTGTTCCTGGAATACAGTTGGAATGTTGTGGCGTCGGAGACTCACTCGAGTACTCTCATGACCCCGCGGATCAATCACGGTCATCAGTGCCACGGATGTAAAGACATAGTTCATCTCTGCATTGCTTCGGCTGGCTACTTGAAAGCGCAGCATTGTTCGTTGGTCTTACGTGACCGCAAACAGGTTGTAGGCCGGCTTCGTGTGACATTTTCTACACACACACAAAAAGAAGGCTTGACTGTCCACGGCTACTCATTCGAAACTCTCGCGTCGACTATGTAAGTGTTGTGGTTGAAAGAAACTCCGAAAGTGGTCCCTGTTGGGGACAAGCTTGAGTGGCTGAAAAGCTGTTGAGACATTGTTGAGCGGCTTCAGTCGAACAGATGTTTGCAGAGCCTGACCAGTTGATCCGGCAGCAACTCGTCATCGCACGAAGCGATGCTTGACGACATCCGCTTTACTCTTGCACAGTCTTTGGAGTAACCTAAGACGACATTAACAGCTGACGCATCTTGCATCAATCCACGTACTTGCTCATGTGGCCTCATGGAGTGGAAGCGTTGCCCACTGCTAATTCCAGACAGTGGATGCAGTGGATGATGTCCAAGACATCCCGATTGTTTGATCCTAAGGATGTCATGTATGGAGTAAACGCATTCAATAACACGTAGCGTGCTGACATACGCTACGAAAGGTCGAGAAAGTAACGAAAGGAAGAGCGCGGCATCAAGTCGATCCGGTCAACGGCGAGTGACCTATGGCCATTCATTGAGCGTTCATCATCGCCGCACCGAAAGTAGGTCTGAGGACCCGGGAGCCGGGAAAGAGAGCATTGAGCGTCTAACCAGCTCTTCTTTTTCTAACTCGAAGGGCAAAGCCTCGCCGATGAAGGAAATGTCGGTTTTGCTGGTGCTGTCTTGGTCTGCTTTCATGCAAGGCTGTACGAGTATGGTTGGACGAAGTTCTGTGGCAGGCGCAACTGATTGTGAAACCTTGAAGAATTCTGAACGGACCGCAATTGGAAGGCGACAATTTTCGAGAGGCACCGCCCACCAAGAGGGGAGTCACGTACGATCGGTCGTACGTGTTTCCATTCTCTCGTGCTAAAGCACACGAAGGTCAAGGTCACGCCTTTCATTATGTTCATCTTGATTAGCGCATAGGCTCAAAATATGGCGTCAGCTTGGTGCACTACGTCAACTGCCGAAACCTGTCTACGCAAGTCTGCCGCCCTCCCCTTCGAGTTTTTGGCCTTCGCTATACATGGCTCTTAGACCGTCTGATCAACCACTCTCGTCTAACAGTTCAAGATCGTGTATTTCAATCAGCAAAGATTGGTTTTGAAGGTGGCCAGTTTGACGCAAAGGCGTTTCCATCGACTGTGAGGAAAAGTAAGAGTCCCACCTTCATTCAATTTTTTATCTTTCACTGACACGATGTCAGGAGAAGTTCAAAGCGGGCTTATACTTTCATGCCCACTAAATAGAAGTCGCTGGGGAGCTGTTCGTACATTGTTGAGTGGCTTCACTTCAGCAGCCGACCACCGAAACCAATTGGTCAGGCGGCAGCTGATCATTGCCGACGAGAAAAATGCAGGACAAAGCAAACATATGCTGACAGTGATTTCCAGGTTTTCCAAATTCTATGGGAGTGATAAACCAAGACGGCGTCAATAGCTGACGCCTCGTGCATGATCCACACATAATCCAGTGAATAATGCAATGCAGTTGACGCATCCTCCTTGCGTCAATTGCGATGCGCTATGTTATTTTCTGCTCGGAGCAAACGCGTCCAAAGACGATACTAGCGGATACGCCCTGAAAAGCGGAAGGTAGTAATAAGGTAGTAATATCGTGAACGCCGAACTTAAAAGCGCAGCATCATGTCGTTCTCCTCTACGTATTGACCTTTTGCCCACTGGGTCGTCCCTCATCGCCGCAGCTGAAGCTGGCTGCATTCGAATCAGGCAGCATTTGAACGCACCGACCTGCACTCAGAATGACCAAGTAGGCTCTTCGTATCACTGCAACCCGCAGGATGAGGAGTTTAGGTGGAGGGCGCCGAACGCTGAAACTCCGGTACCTTCTATTTCCACCTTGACTTGTAGTGTGCGCAAACAACTTTGAAACAACGGGGAATATTTGCGCGCTCCGTGAAGGAAAAAGGCTGTTGTGTTTAGCCCAAGCTAGCTAAGCCGATGCTATGGAACAACATTACGTACGAGGCCGTCTTCACAGAATCCTTGCTGAGTCGTCAGGAACATGATTTCCGGTCACGCCAACCAGGCAGAATATCTCGATCCACTCTTAGATCCATCAACGCATGCGCCCCCGGATGCACGTGCCATCCTCGTATATGACGTATGCAATTAAGGTACAGATGTTGTTTAGCGGAAGCCTGCCCACTTCCAAAGGCCTAAAGTCCTAAGCTTTCGAATTCGATCTTGCACTCTTGGATCAGCCGCATCTTGACGTCAAAGCGGTCAAGATTCTGTACTCGGCTAGAGTGTGCCTTTCGAAGCGGCAACTTTGACGTGATCCATGAAGCTGTTTGAGCTGTGACCCAAAAGGCTCCGAAACAGAAACGCAGCTAATGTGGTGACGCTTCCTGAGGCAATCGGACCACTACTATACTTGCTTGCAAATAGCCCATCTCGGCAGCAATTGCAGCGGTGCTTCCTCCTCGCCAAACGCGGGGAACCAAAGCTAATTCCACGGTAACGGATCAGAATGGTAAAGGCATGTGCTTCGCATGAACGTCAGACAAGAAGTTAGGAACGAAACAGGAGCACTAGCAGTACGGCGTTGCTCTGGTCGGTCAACGAGAAGCTCGGCGGAGCGGTAAGATCAAGGGCACACCAAACGCAGATAGAATCAAAGAGGCCACACGCCCAGAGAGGCCGCCATGAAGACATTTTGGCAACAGAAGCAAAGAATGGCAGCGATAAAGGACCACTCAAGCAACAACCCTTGCCGCAAGCCACCTAACAACTTCTCTTTCGGGCGAGGCCCAAGGTGGAGGCGTTTGCAGCTTTTGAAGTAACCGGATGGTCTGGTCGTATATACGCGGTCTGTGCTGCGAGTGTGAGCACTTAACGGATGTGTTGGAGCTTGACGAGGAAGTGGAAGGTCCCAAAGAAGGAATTAAATGCAAAATTATTTCATTTTTGAAAGAATGGATTCACGTCACACAAGACGATGCTAAAAATGATGTGTTCTCGTCACCGCTCCAGAGTTCTGTTCCTGGGGAAGACTGGTGAAGGCGAGAAACCTTAACGCTCCAGAAGGGACGGCTTGCGGACTGGTTGCCTTTTTGAATGTGGAAACTTTGATTAGAATCCTAGTAACTCCTCGACTGATCCGAACGTGTCATACAAAGCTAAAAACAACTCAGTAACCCCACAGAGAACGCAACGGGAAGTTTGGAGAGACCACGGGGGATGTTACCCTTAACTTCGGTCGTCGATGAGATAGTTATGAATACGACGCGACGCACCATTTCTTCGACGTGCAGCCACTTCCTCAACGTGCCAGGACAGCGAAGACGTGACTCAGAAGCGCACACCGGGCTCTGGCGGTTGCCAGGTTGAGCGCAACGTTGCATCACCGTCAAGTTGTTGTTGAAAGGAAAACCGTACGCTCGGCTCAAACTGGCTCAAACACGATTCTCTACCCAGCAAAATTCTGCTTCGACAGGAGGGTGGGCCTCGCACAGACTGCATTGCCAACGGTTGAGAAGCTGAGACTCACGAAGATTGAGGCAAGCAAGGATCTTCCTCCTATGATTGTCGAGATCGAGGGTCGCACCTTTTCAACGAAACAGCGTATTGATGAAAGACCGTTGAGCGGAATAACACGCCGCCACCAGGACCGTTCAATTACTGAGTAGCAAGTCATGTGGTGCGGAAGAAAGCCTCCGGCATGAAAAGGCTGATGCGACAACGTACATTCGACATCTTGAGAAATATGTGAGCCTCTCGTGAGCACTGCGACTTGACCAGATGGCCATAGCGTATATCGTCCTTGCCGTCCTTGGCGCAGAAAGAGAAAGCAGGTTTGAAAAAAGGCGAACAGACGTGCACCGCTGAGAAGTGGAGGGTCTGACTATAAACATCCTCTGGCGGCTTCTTGTCCGGCAACAGTGAGTCTTGTCAGCTCCTTGAGAAACAAAGGTTGGACTCAAACCACAACCCTCGGAGTCTACTTCGTGCCAGCAAAAGCTCGTTGGGATGGTCATTATCAACGCACGGATGGAGGCGTCAGAGTTACAAGTTCGACGTGAGCACAACCATGGGCCTAAGCCCAAAAGGGATGGCAAATCCTTGCCTTTTAGTGGCAAAGGTCATTGTAAAATGGAAGGGCACCTGAGGAATTTCGCATATGTCGTCATCATTTATGATCCATGAAAAAGCAGGTTAGTAAAAGCCCACAAACCATTTAATATTGACGACAACTAGCAGCAATGATCGACCGAAACATGGCAAAGCAGCCTCTCGCTTCAGGGTTTCGTTTGGACGGGCACGATCCTTTCCAAACCTCAATTCACACTCGGTAAAGAACAGCACAAGCGGGCAGATTGTTTTGTGCCGCCGGTATCAACCCGGCTCACCGCTGTTTCATGAGAGCCGGTAGGAGTGTCGACACCGGTGGACACGTGGGCACCTCCAGACAAGTGGACGGCAAGCTAGCAGAGGAGCACATGTGGCTCCTTTGACGTGTCCCCTGAAAAATGTATGTTTCGGAAAGTGCGCCATCATGGAACAAAACAGCACGGATCTCAAGCTTTGCGTATGATGAGCACGAACCAGAGTCATATGTTACGTCCAACTCATTTTGGCGCCTGGTGGGGACAAATTAATAAGAATCAGGTTCGTCGACTCTCGAATACTGAGCGTGGAATCCCAACAACGTCTAGCTTTCAAAGCATGGTTCCTTGGCACCGCGACATTCTCTGCACCATGTGGCGCGTGCCGGACACGTGGACACGTAATTAAGTCGTCGTTTCCGACCTGCTCTAGCAATTGATCACGCACACCGCAGAATAGAGGCAAAGGGAAAGAGCGTCAAAGTACTTCTCAGCGACCACCTAGATAGCAAAACCGCACCCCAGATGAGCTCCAGCATTTGATTGGCTTCGCACTTGGATAGAACGAATGGAAAAAAGGCTGCGAACTTCTTAAGTCTACCTAGATGGCACATTGGCACCTCAAGCCCAGGATGACAGCCCTGAACTGGTGGCGTACCGAGCTCGGACTCAACACAACCGTGGCCAAGGGTCATGGCCAATTCGTTCTAGTCTTCATAGCCACTGATCAACTTGAAACCAATCCGGGAAAATGTCTTCAGGAGTTCCTTATGTCTGAGATATGGATAACCTGGTAAGGTGTTGGCCAGTGGAGCTGTGAATTTTTCGCCGGCTAGCGATTCACGGAGGGCTTTTCAGGTGTGTCGCTCGCCCACCAGTGCAAGTTGGTCATCTCTCGGCTCTAGACATCAAGTTCGCGTGTTTCTTAGATTCAAACATTCGAAGTGACGCACAATAGCTGGCTTCAACCAGCGTCCTTCAAGGCGTGCAACTTCCACGACCACTTGGGGAAGTCGCAGGCCTTATGTACGTGCGAAAGTATAGTTTGTAACGTCATATCCAGTGCAGAAGATAACATGTGACAACTGTGCGAACAGGTATAATTATCTTATATGGGTAGTGAACCAACGCATAACCGTCATAAGGAATAACCCTATCGAAACTTCATAAGTTACCATTTGTGCAGCGGAGCGTAACCCACCAAGGAACGCATATTTCAAGTTACTAGAGTAACGAACCGCAAAACATTTGCTATGCTGTCAAAGACTTTTCAAAGTCCTTGTTGCCATTAACTCAGCACCGAATTTGAAGTCCCTCAATACGTTACTGCAATATCCAGTCGCGTGCAATCAAGTTCTTAAAAGCAGAGTCGTGACTAAGCCAAGAATGCTTGTCTCTTTAGAATGCTTGTCTCTTTGCAGAATAGTCAACTTGGTATCAGGCACCGAAGGACATTATACGCCGACGGTGGCATCGAGCGAGGGCGTTACATATCTGCCTTACTGGCAAGCGTTCGCCTATCCTTACTTGAGTGGAGATTCAGCACATTTGGACAGGTGGCTCTGACGGTGGGCCGTTGCGAACAGAAATCGTCAACCAAGCAGATTGGAACAAGCAACAACAAATATGCAGCACCTGCACACTTATCAACGATAAGTGATTGGCTTTTGAATGCCATTAGAAAATGCAAGAGGACGAAGGCAGCCTGCATGTTCCCTTCTGGACACGGCCGGCTCCGAAATGAGCATTTTGTCTGTGTTGTTCCATTCGTGACAAGGAGGCATCGAAGATCGCGTTTCTAAACGATCTGTTGTGTTGTTTGCCATACACATATGCGGTCTCCAAGCGTTGACTGTTCAAACTACATGACCCGGATCGACACCTTCACGCAGAACAACGTTTTTGATAAGACTTAAACTGTAGTGGGCGGGATTTGCTGTCCTGCTTTGCACAAAAGTCCCCATGATTATGGGCCATTGACCCCTAGCATGACAACCAGAATTGGCGTTTCAAAGGAGTAGCTTTGACATGTACCGCAAAATGGCTAACGTGGGATTAAAGGTGGAGAACGATGAATGACCCGCTGGTCATATGATCCCTTCGTCGATCATCGCCAGGAAGACAAGGTAGAAGAATCGATGACAGACTATTCAACATATAGAAGCCGCTCTTTGAGCTGCTGAAAGCGATGCAGTGGACGCAGAAAACAGGCCCGACACTTTCCCTCGGTGTGTGGTGATTCAAATTTACATAATTCAGCCAGTGCCGGTGACATTGGCATCTGATGATTGTCAAGATCTGCGATCATGCGGTCATGCAGGCTCAGGCCAACCGGTGCCAACAGCTTGTGGAAGCACAACTGAACTTTTTAGAAGGGCACGCGTCGTAACTTTGCAACCCGAGGACCTGTCGCCTCGAGATGTGTCCCGCGATCTGCACTTCGTTACCAGCTGTCTGAGGAAATGGACCGGAAATAAAGACACCCAGCAGCAACAAACTTCGAGGACCATAGAGCTTAGGCCGGCTGTCTCGAGCTACTTGACCAGCAGATATACCAACGGATCGAGCACAAGATGAGCGGTTTGTCGCGTGGCATCCTTGAGAACAACTCGGTCAACGATTGGCTTGTATGTCATCGCCACCAAGGATCCAAGAACAGAAGGCAACGACAAAACAGCAAGGCACGTCTCAAAAGTCGATCGGGACCACTCATCCAACCAATCTAATATAATTCAAGCATGACCATTTCTGAAGCAGATTGAGCGACTGACAACACATCCCAGTGGCGCATGGTGCACTGCAGATGTCAGACGCATGCTGGTCACGAAGCAGGCGCGTCAAGCACAGGCTTGCGATCCGACTGAGCAGACTTCGACCAGAGGTTCTGACTTGCAGATATCTAGAAAAGCGGTGAAGACCACGCGGCTGGCACGGCACGATGTCATTGTGCGTATGCCGGAGCACAAATTTTTGGACCTTGAGATTGAATATAATCAATGATGACACGGTTCAGGTTCGAAACTGCTCAGAAGGCGGGATGCCAGCATCCTAAACAAAGCGGACACCTTGTTGCCCAGTTGGCGCCCCAGCTAGCCCGCCACTTCTGAGCGCGGTCGGGGTCCCCTTCTTCCGATCCCTCCAGGTACAGACAAGCCGTACTCTTCCCGCACCCTCCGCACTGCACACAAAACGCTTCGTATCAGTTCAGTTGCCTTACGAATGAGACCGAGTGAATCACGAGTCGGATCACGCTTCGAATGACAACTTACAAGGTATTAGCAGAGACATATGAGACGACGAGCTTTTAAGAAAATTTTGCAACAACCACTGCACTTCTGTCTACGACCGAAGGCTGACGGTTTTTGCTAGTGCCCAATGGGAATCCTTCACTTCAGCAATCATTCGAGCTGGAAGAGCGAGGGGGTAGAACCGGAATCGATCCATTCATCTTTCCCCAATACCTGAGCCATAATTTTCTCCCTCAGGAGCCAAAATGGCGGGTCAACGACATAACGCAGATGCAGAAGCTCCAATCTGACTCACCCACACCATGCCTTTGGTCGCCGTCGGCTTCCACCGGAAATCCAACTGATCCCTCCGGCTCCCCACAATCGCCCGTAACGCCCCTGCGCTTCCTTTTCCGGTCGCGATCGCGTGCTCCGCCCGCCGCCTCTTGCGTCCAACTTCCCGGGCGCTCTCCCCGGGCCCTGTCCCGAGCATGGCAGAGCCCATCTTCACTAGGTAAGACTGGTCGGGGACTGAGTTTACGAGGCCCGGGCTGTATTCGTCGGCGGGCAGCTCCCAAGAAACGAGAACGTCCAGATTGCGGAGAAGCATTCCGACCGAGTCGGCGCCGAGAGGACGGGGCAGTGTGTTGCCGACCTGAGCGAGAGGCAAAGAGAAGAATTTTCCAAGGGCGAATAAAGCGTTTTACAGTCGGCATAGCTACTCTGACGGTTTGATTGCTAAGCTTGGTTTCCAGCGGCTGTACGGGCGGCTTCCATATTGCGATCACAGTCTCACACGAGATTCGAATCTCGCGAACTGAATCGTTAGGAAGGTTTGTCTGGTCGGTCGAGAGGATGAATGGAGTTGGGCCGAAGTAGAAAGGTTTGTCTGGTCGACTAAGACGAAGAATGGAGCCGGGCCGATGTTGCTGTTGAAAGGAGTTTTTCTGCCTGATCAAGTTGTATCCTTCCTTGGTCACCGCTTGGATTGAAGTCAGCAATCTTTACAACAAGAGGTATAACTAGCAACCACAAGAAACAATCAACTCGGAAGCCGCTGCTGTAGCGCTCGTTCAAAACATTGAATGTTCACCTGAGTAGCCACTTCTGGTAAAGTGTTTCAAAGCAAGCCACAAAATATCAGGGCTGGGTTGCAACGTCCATCAGTAATTCGGAGCGAAGCTACGTCAAATCCGCTCATTTATGCGTCATACAAGTGCCCTCCAGACCCATATGCGCAACCTCGCTTACGGCCAAGTATCGACAAAAACACGTGTGCAGCGTGCTGGCCTCACCGCCTGGATGGCTTTGTTGACCTCCTCCCATCCGACGCTGCTCCAGCCGTCCGCGTAGTGCAGCGCCATGAATTTGGGGAGCGGGGGCGTCGGTGGGAACATGGCCGGCAGCGCCAGCGTGCGCTTCGTCAAGTCCTGGACTACCGCCAAAAGCGCCGTGATCTGGGAGGAAGGAAGAACGTTTCGTAATTCCTGAGTCTCTTGACTCCGGCAGGATTTCGGACCATGGGACCAGTGTTACGGACTACAAAACGCGGATTCATTGTTTCTCGGTTGCGGGACTTGCAAAACTCTCAGGTCTTTAGTTTACTGCAACAAATGCCGTGACCTGCGGGATAACGGGGTGGGTTTTCCTCCATTTTGTAGATCTTTGAAAGAATGATAGCAGCGCCATGATGCGCAAACTACCGGAGAGCGTCGGTCGGAAGGGAATCTTCCACTCAACCAGAACTTTGAAAAGAAGTGCCGTGATCTGCGAGAAGGGGAACTTTTTACTTCTGTTTTGGAAGTAAACCTTGGAACCAGCGCCAGCAGCGCCAGAACCCACGGAAGAACGTCAGTCGTTCATCGTCGCAGCCGGAAGGAGCACGAAAGACCGTCGAAGGCGGCCAAAAACCGTACCTCTTGCGTGTGGTACCCAACGCCCCCGTTGCCTTGCCCGCTCTTGCGCAGCGGCCCCTCGCCGGCGCCTCTCTCGCGATCGTCTCTTCTTTTCCTCAACACATGCGCGCCGGACGTCGCCTTCAAAAGCCCCTCCAGAAAACCCCGGTCGCCCACTAAGCGTGTTCCGGGCAGGCCGGGAAAGGCGACCTCGACGGAGGGGCGCTTCTCGGCGGGGGAGTAGGCGGCGGCCTGGTGCGCAATGAAGACCTCCACGTTGCGGCGCATGAGGTGCAGGAAGAGGGACGCCAGGTCCAGGATGCTGTCCTGGCACCAGCCCTGGGGGACGAGTAGGGTACGTTACAATTGGAGAAAAGAGGGGAACAGTCGTTCTGCATCAGAGGGTAGAGGGGCACGACGTGTCCAAGAAGCCGTCCGGCCACCAGCTTTGAGGAACCAACTCAAAATGTTTGTTTCGGAGACGGCGAAGTGTGGGGGGGACACTGAGAGCCTTCCATGAACCTTTTCGGGAGGGGCAGGAAGCACATGCCTTGTTTGAGTTTCTGTCCTGGCGGGCGAGTTTGAAAGGTTGGTTCCGAAGAGAGAATATGAGAGACAAAGCTAGAGCTCTCTGCAAACCAGGAATGAAGGGTGAAGGAAGATACGCCGGGTCTTCGATGCTGTCCGGGCACCAGCCCCGGCAGGAGAGGGGTTTCTACAACGGGTTCTTGACAACCCAGGAGTGGCTCACTTCAAGTCCCGAGTACCCCTGCTCGCCCTCCCTCCCGGGCTCGCCCACCACTGCAAATATAATCCCGGGGTGTTGAACCTCGCCTGCCCACCGAGTACAAAACACTTGACACTTTCGGACGTCTCACCTCAAGTTCCGAGTAGCCCTCCTCGCCCTCCCTCCCAGGTTCATTCGGGCTCGCCCGAGTGAGCAGCAGCAGCAGCGCCCGGGTGAGGCATTCCAGCACCAGCCGGATGCGCGTCTCCAGGCTCACCGCCCGGTTCTCGGGGCCGACGGCGCCTCCCAATAGTCGCGTCTTCAAACGGTCCAGCTTCTGCGGTGAAAACGGGGAACAAGCTCTCAGCAAGAGTATTGCACGTATATGCAAGCCGGCCGGTTTGCAGATACGTAGGGTCTCAAAGGGGACGGTTGAGACACGCCAGAATTTTTCAGTTTCCGAACACAGGAATCGATTCCAGAAAAAGCCCAAACGGACCCCTTTCATTTGTGTCTGGTAGACAAAGCTAGCCTTCAATTCGATGCCAGGAAAGATGACTTTGTTTCCTTGTTTCTTTCGTACTCACATCCGCCTAGCTCAAGAAGCATCAAGCCAATGGACAAGTGTCACCGCAGCGGGGCTCGCTGGACGTGGCGCCCATGTTTGAGCCCTCCCCTCCGAATGCTTGAGAGTTGGCTGCTCAATCTAGCAGCCAACACAATCGAGTTTGCCCTAAGCATCTTCTCCGGGTTCCGAGATTGCCACACGCACGGCATCTTTTCTCGAAACTCCAGAGTCCGGGTAAAACGAACACACATGTTTCAAGATTTCGCCTCGAGCCCGTACGGCTACACCAGCATAAGATGGATGTGTAAAAGCTCTGAGCTTTCGCTCGAGATGCTGTGATCATCATTGCCAAGAAAACGGCGACAATCGTAACCAGCCTTTGTAAGGTTCACAGAAAATGCCATACACAGCACAGCGAGAGAAACCGGAATCTGAATGTTGCTTTGGATGATCAAAACATAAGCAATCATCCGTGTCAGTTAATCTCTCCAGAAGTCCTCAGTGCGATCACTACAGGCCTTAAAGAGATCCGCTTCGTGTTCACATACGTCATGCACAGATTGCTCGATGTGATATCCAAAGCTCTACTGGCGCTCGTAAAAACCGTCGAATTTTCAGCCGAACATCATACGATTGCAGACGTTGAGAAGCCAACCAGTCAAGACTGGACCCCCGGCTATTTAGGCACCGCATCCAAACTCAACACTTGCCGAATTCCTACCTTGAACACCTTTCATGGGGAATAAAGATTCTTCCTTAAAGGGCTGCATGGAGTTGCAATGGTCCTTCTAGGCAACGCAGATCTGTGAGACACTTGAATAGCCCCGCAAGTATTCAGAGCTTATGTCACGACGCTTTCAGACACCAGTAACGACACAAAAAAGCGGCGTTCGAAGGAGGAAATGTCTGACCATCTGGTCATGCTTCCACGTCATCCTTGCCGCAAAAGGGTGAAGTGCTACCCACGAAGCAAGCTCAACGACCACCTACCGAAGCACAGCAGGATGGTAACTGAAAGGTACGAAAATCGCTTGAGGCCCACCACAACGAGCAACGAGTGAAGGTCAAAGCCAATTCTGCGCAGAATTTGCTTGTTGTTAGGCATGCGGCTCAACCCGTTCCTGTGTATCAGGGCCCCACGTGACACACCGAAAACCTTAAGCTCCCTTTCCTACCTTTGACGACAACCGCGGACAGTAATCTGTTCCTGCATCTTGCAGTCGTCAACACGCGTAAGCTTTGCAGCAAGAGTCTGGATGGCTGAGGGTGGTTTGAATGACTGCGGGTTTTTTCTAATTGCGTGACTTCTCCTTCATTCTAGGACTATGGAGCATTTTCAAAGTCCAAAAATAAAAATTGAACAGAGATACACACGCCTAGAAAGGCTGGCATCAGGTTTTGACAGGAACATGCCTGCCCAGTTGGCGTCGTTTTGAGCAATCATTGCCAGCTTTCGCCTTGCCATTTACGAGCCGAAATCCAGTGATTGAGATCGTTAAGAGGAGACATGCTAAACATATCTCCAGCTATCTGCACCAGCTCTTCCATTCGTTAGTGAAAGAAGAATTGTATCAGAATCTCAGTTCTGAGCTGTGACGACTCAAAACATGCCTGACAGGAGCCCGAGATTATGCAGGCAGCTCCGCACCCTCCAGTAGCAAGCATCAATCAACGACGAGAATGAACCCTCGTTCCACCATCGGAGGGATCAGATTAACGGTCTTTTGGAAAATCATAAAATAAGTCAGAAAATAAGCAGCTGCAAGCGTCAAGTCGAACGAGAGGCTTCAGACGGGAAGCAACAAAGAATTAGGCGTTCTGCCAGCCCCAAGAGCTCTCAAGGATTCGTGAGACAGCGGGATGAGCTTGCTGCCAGCACGGATGGCTGGCGCAAAGGGCCGCATGATCACCCTCATGTTTAATTAGAGATCTGAGCCACGCATTACGACTGCAATCCTACATTTTCCCCTTGAGTAGTAAATCGCAAGTCTTGGCCTCGTGTGGCAAACGATCGTTAACGACGCTGGCGGCGACATAGTTGCCCAGGAACGGTGAAAGCAAAGAACTTCCCCTCTAATAAAGAATAACGTCAAGTGCGGGGAATGGGTAGAGTTAGCGAGAATCAGGGTGGCTTCAGATGCGAAGCGAGTCAATGTCTGGTAACGGGGGGCTGTGGTTGCCTTTGCCCGGTAGAGTGACCTCAACAGGCATGCAGTTCATCATCATCCAATCAAAAGTTGATGAAGCAGTGCCTGCCATGGCATAGCCCTTCTTCTAGCCGAACCCTGGGCATGGGGTGCGACTCTCATTCCACTTAAGACGCGTTTCGAGTTTCGCGGGTACATACACGAAACCCTTGATCCAAAACCTCATGCAGTCCGCACCCAAACCCATCCTAAGCATCCAACTTAACCTCAACCGTCTCCCAAGCGCCTATCTTACGTGAAATGAGAGATACCAGAGTGACAACCAAGAAACTAAGCAGCGCTTACCCTGGCGTAGTCCTTCCGGAGCCGCTCCCCTGGCATGGCATGCAGCTGGCGGTCCACCTGGCCGCCGAGGCCGGCGATGCTCCCCGGGCCCTTCCGCGCGACCGGGACGACGTCCCAAGCAAACCGGGACGTGACGAAGCCCCACAGACACCTGGCAAACAAAACGCTGTGAAGCTTAGAATCTTGGCAAACGAAACACCAGAGACAAGGCCAGAGAAATTTGCAAGCTCACGGAGGGTTCGGACAGACCAACTTTGAGTATCATGTGGTGAGGAACGGAATGAAGAAGCCGCAAGCGGCCGTCATCCGCGCAATTCGCTCAGGATGAGCACACTTGACCAGGCCTTTGTGCCTGCTCGTCTCCTTTCCGAATAGACTCAAACCCTTTCTCGAAGGAGCAAGAGTACAGGTTGTCAATCTGCAAGTTGCCTGGAGCTCAATCAGAAGCGCTCGATTTGCAAAAAGGAAACCCCGATATCATGATCGCGCCCCGCCCTAAACACCCACAAGAATCCGCACCTTTGCGAAAGCGCCAAATCCCACCCGTCCGTCGTCTTCTGGTCCCCAGGGGCTCTCTCCCGACCGTCCCAAGGCAAGGCGGCGAGAATACCGACACTGACCAGACCACGCTCTTCCGGGGCCCCCACAAAGAGCCCCGCGACACACGAACCGGTCGGGGAGAAAACGGCGACTGGGGTGTCGAGGTGGGGGGTGGGCAGATTTTCGAGGGTGAAGTCAGGCCTGGGCAAGGGACACACTAGATCTTGGTTCAGAACTTTGTTCGCAACGAAGAATGATTGGCTTTGAGGGGCAATCGCCTGCAGCAGTAGTCCGGTTGAGATCTTTGGGGTTGTGGCCGCCCGATAAACAGGATCCGAGGCTGGCCATCGGTCGAACGGCTTCAATCTCAACATCTCCCGCCTGGATATGATCTGGAGCCTCCAAGGGCTCAACGAAACACAACCCGTCATAGATACGGAGAGGAAGCGTAAACTGATCCGTGGTTCTATGAAGCCACGTTTCATCAACAGACGAGTTGATAAAATTGGAATCGAAAACGTCCCAATCTTTTCTTTAGCATCGCTAAAGAGTTGAAAGGGCCGCTGAGAGACTGAAAATGAGATCGCAAGCCCACCTGAAATGGAACAGATGCGTCCGTCCTGCAACGCGAATCGCCAGCTGGTCTCCGGTCGTCGAAAACCGAAGCCCGACCTCCCCCAAAACCGCTCCCCCTCCCATTGGAAGCTCCAGCGCGGCCGTCCGGCTCCACTTCACCACGCTCTCCTGGCCCTCCTTTACGTCCTTTCCACTCCGGAACACCTCGTGAACCTCTAGAGGTTCCGCAGAGCTGCGCCACCTCTCGAGGGAAGCCAAGTCGTCCCCGTCCACCCCCGCGGTCAGTACGACCAGCCCCTCCCCGCCGGTGCCCCTCTCAAAAGCCAACCCGGCGATTCTCCGCGTATGGCCCCCGCCTTCCTCAACTGAGAAACTGGAGACGATGGTTGCGGAGAGGGGGGGTTCCGGTTTGGACTCATTCGGGCGGGGGGGTCGGAGAAGAGTGGCGATGAGGGGGGATAAGCTACTGGTACCGGTCGAGGGAGGGGGAGGTTGGGTGTGCGCGTTTTGAGGGAGGAGCTCCCAGAGGACCACTGTCGAGGGCTGGCTGGTGGGAACTAGAGCGATGAGAACGGACCCAGCCGCTGCATTGAAAACGGTGTGTGTAAAATCATTTGCCGTGTGTAAGTCTACCCGCCGTCTGCCTATCCGCCGTGTGACTCTATCTGCCGTCTCAGAGACCCAGAGCTTGCATTGCCAGCTGGCGACTAACGAGGCTAAGAAGGATGTAGCCACTGAACCGGAGGACCTAGGCGTGAGATTGCTCCAATAAATGAGAACCTTTCGAGGCGGAAGCATGGCTTGCCGTGCGATCATCACGACCAGGCAAAAGATGTGCGGATGCCCTTGGATCAAGCAAAGATGTAGTCTCGCACGGGCTGGCCGCTTCTTCTACCCGAAGTAGCGGACCAAGGAGGCATTGATCATCCCCTTCTCCCTCTCCACATTCTGTACTGTACTGCAGCCGTAGCGGCGAACCATTGCTTTGTTGCATGGTAGGCTAGGTCGACCGAACCACAATCTCATCATAAGTTTCCTAAAGGTTACAATTCCATTCCTTGAAAGACTTACTTGTAACGGTCGCATCCGCCACCAGACTTTCCCCTCCGCACGCAAGGAGCACACTGTTGGTGCTTTTCCAGGCGACTTGGCCGGTCTGGGGGTCCCGCCCGAACGTCTGGTAGTGAAGCTTTGCTGAGCCGGATTGCGTAAGCGTGACGAGGCATGAGAAGCCGGAGCGGGGCCACCGGGGTAAGGGCGCGGGGGAAGAAGCCATGAAGCGCTCCTCGTATGGCCCAGAGCTGCTCGTCGCCGGCCACGAGTACTGCACAAGAAGGAAGCGAACGGCTTGAGTTCAGGTTGGGATTACAGATCAATCAAATTATGGTTCGTTGAGAGGACGTCAGTAAGACGAAAGCAACGGCTCTTACTTGGTTAACTAATATCCATACGACGCGCTTTGTCAGGAGGTTGTATATGAGCTGAAGTGTGGGTTGTAACGTCGTCAGGGGCTTGACCTTGATGTTGTCGAAGAAACTTCATCTTGTGAGAAACTTCTCAGACGTTGAAATTGTGTGCCACTTTGATGCCAACGAAGGCTGCCCCTGGAGACTGTCGTTAGCTGAAGCGATTCCACCCAGCATGAAGAGAGGAAAGGGGCTGTCTGCAACACAACGTTTTACTCCGTAAGAAAAGTGCTCACAAGTGACGCTAGGTATCTGGTCCACCCAATCGGATAGCGCATCCAAAAATCCGGTCCAAACCTTCATGTAAGTCGAAAATGACGGTCAAACTAACGGTCAGACTCCCCAAATCAATGACCTGAAACAACCATGTCTCAGAACAAAGGGCCCTGTGGCCAACGACTTTGCAAATCGCAGCCTCACCGGCGAAGGCGGCTGCAGCCACTTTGCCAGCCGCAGGGCCTCCTGGTCCGACCACTGCGTCGCGGGCCTCCAAGCATCGATGGTTTGCGGAGCATACGCGGGCGGCGTCAGTACAGTACAGGCGCCTTCTGACTGGACACACAGGAGCGCGGGGGAGCACCCCGCGGGAGACCAGTCGAGCTGGCAGATGGGACCGCTGGAGGGGGGGGCGTTCTCACTGACGATGGCATGAGTGGCGGGGGCCTCGGGGTCGATGATGTGAATGCGCAGCTGGGTGTGTGGGTCCTGTGAGTCACTGCAAGACGGAGAAAGGCGGGGATACATGTAGCTCACGAGCCTGTACTCCTTCTTGTCCTGCTTTTCAGGGCCCTTGGAACCAGCCATCAGGCCCGCATGCCTTTCATAAGTGTGCCCTGTTCTTTGAAAGAAACCTGCCTTGCGAGGTCCAATCTATTTCTGTTTGCGACGAGATCCTGTACCACGTAAAAGACGGCCCTAGCCACTAGGCCAACAGAAACCGATATGACCAAGGACAACCGCACCATCAAGACTTGATGCAGATTGACCCACGGGTTTGAGCGCTGAAAAAGGGGTTTCAGTCTGAGACTGACCTTTCAATCACAATGTTTCACAATACTATGAGGGAAGATTCGCCCCCCAGAATCCTAGAGGGGAACATTTATCAGCCCTCACGTTGTCAACAATCCTAACCCTCCTGATTGTGGACTGATTCAGACCAGGCCGTATTGCAAGCAGAATAAAGCTGGTCAAAACTCTCTTCTGCTTCCAACAGCCTACCTTGCTGGCTTCTTTTGCTTGCTACTGTCCTCCCAGCTGCCCGCAGCAGCGATCAAGTTGGTGCGCTCACACCAGGCAAGGCTGCAGGCCAGATGAGAGTTGCTTAGTTCAGCAACAAAGCGGCGCCCAGCGCTCACTGCAGACTGACGGTTAGGTTTGTCGGGTTAAGGTTGCCTCAGGAATTGCTCTAGCACTTCTTTTGTTTGAATTAGTAGCCGTGACCTTATCAGTTATCAACGTTGATTGCCTCAAAAGGGGCTCTGAATGTCAGTTTGCAAGAAGAGCTGTAGTCATAGGGCTCCCCTCAAGGGGGAATGAATCATTGGCACCACTCTACAAGAGGCAGGTGGAGCTGAATATGATGCTCAACGGCACCTTTTGAGTCGTCATGCTTACGTTGCATTTGGTTGGCCCCCTCCCCTTGCACGGGCTGCTCGTCCAATGATGATGTCAAGGAGGACAGCATTGCCTTCCTCCATAACTTCTGCCATTTCTTCCAGGCCTGAATCACTTTGCAATGTAAGTCATTGACGGGATTTGCACCCCCATACAGCCTTTGTATTGCTGTCAATTGCACAAATCACGCAGTGTCCTTCTATCCTAGACAACCTCCACAAAGTCGCACCACCACGCCCTACCACCAATGCATTGGATTCACTGCGTTGGAAATGACCATCTCTCATCACGCTGCATGCATCTCAGTCCTGATATTGTGAAGGATCAGGTCAAAACCTTCTTTAAAGGATCTCATGGTTCCTTATATGAGGGCATGGAATTCGATCATACGGGCGCTTGAAGCGAATGTGGAGACATTGCTAATCTGTTGGAGTACTTCTCGTGACTGAAGTCTGAGAAAAAGGGCATTCTTGCGGTCAAACAATCAAAATGGAGTCCAGGCCCCAGAGTGCTACTAACAGCTTATACTAATAGGTGGCCAAAAACGACCTGAAATATATTGTGGACTCTGCTCAGAGTCATGTATACTTGCAAAGCTCAGGCTGCTCAGAATTTCATTCATTGTTTTTCAGAAATTCACCTCCTTGTGTGACGACCTGGTTCCACCTGCTTCTACCTATCTACCTACTTGTACAAGGACCTCGTTTGAAGCAGAGGGTGTTGTTTGAGGAGAACTCTGGAGGAGCGAAGGCGTATACTACAAGGCGGGTTTGCTTCGTTTGTGAGGTGACCAGCTGAGTCCAAAAGCTTTGTTGTAAGTGATAGCAAAGCTTGCGTCCCTGAAGAAAGAAGTGTTTGCGATTAGGCGTCCGCCCCCTGTCCGCTCAATTGGAGGGAACCGGGTGTGTCTTTGTCCACCTGCAAGCAGCATGGCGCCAAAGCCGGCATTTGAGCTTCCTTACTTCTACAACTATCGACCCTACTTCACGTGAGTTTCTTTTAAGGACGTCGTTTGAGTCTCTCCAATCAGGATATCTGGTTTGTTGTCTAAGTGACCAGTTTGAAGGGTTTTCTTGCCCTGTGATTTGAAGTGACGTTAAAATGTTGCCCCGTTCTAAGCTTATTGACCCTCTGGCAGAATTGGAATTGTCTTTGTTGAATGCTGACATGTCTGCTGCATCCATTTCTCTGAGATAATTGCTGGCTGATGTTTCTTCTGGCAGACGAGGGAAGTGCCAACCATTCTGTTTCTTCAGATCAAGGTGTGTTAGTAGGTTATAAAAGGGAGCATGTTGAAAGCATTTACACCCCCTATCAAGGTCTGTTTTGACTTTCTGGGCTCAACAGATGCAATCAGTTCATGGAAAAACGGAATGATTAGTCTGCAATTATATTTTATCAAGGATTTCAATAGAAGCGGCTTCGCCTTGATCATTGAATAGATCATAGAATGAATACGACCTGTTGCATGTCATGCGTCGGATGGTGGGCCAATGACCATGGAAAGCGTGCGGGCTTTGATGTCGTTTGGACGGGCATCTGAAAGTACGATCAACACAGGATCTAACCTTGCCCATGCTCTAGTACTTCTATCTGGATGAGCTAGCGCGTACTAAAGTGCGCAATCGAATTGAGGTGACGATTTCGCAATTCTCTCCGCAACTGATGTGTACTATATTTATGTCGCAGGTTACAGCCTGTTCGAGATACCAGGGAGAAGCAGATCCAGCTGTGGAAGGAACTCATTCTGAGCTTCTGCAAGCACTACGGCATGTACATCGTCGACGTTGACGACTTTCCCCTGTTTGCAAACAAGTCAATAGAAAGTGAGCCTGATCGAGAGTCTGCTTGCGATAGAATTTCCTCCTAGCGATTGCAGATGTGATCTGTCCATGATGTCTGACTTGACACCGATGCTTTGCGGTCTGCAATGTTGGGCAAAGCGTTCCCTATCAGCTTCACTTTTTGTCTGCTTCTGGCTGCTTTATCATCCTGGACATGTAGTTGCTTGACTTTCAGAAATTTGTCAGTCAATTGAGAGACACATTCGCAAGCTTGCAGGAAAGCTGACAAACGAGGCCCGAGAGCTATTTCTGAACGCCCTTGTAATGGAAGGTGGGTCCTCGCCACCTGGTCATGTTGTGCTTTTCATTTCTGGAAGGGAGTGCTGGTCGGTCCTATTCTTAAAAATGGATTTGGATGGCCTCGCAAAATTATCTATCCCCAACGCTCTTGCTGTTACAATATTCGTGGCTTAGGCTGCCCTTCGTATCCTCTCTTTCCGCAAAGCCTATGGAACATCAGTACTGAGCTCCAATAAGGTATCTGGCGTTTCATTTCTGCCGAACTTTGCTTTGCAGGTCGGGCTGAGTGGCTAGGGAAGGACCATCGAAAGTGCCTCCTCCTGTGGAGGCGGATAGAAGACTGGGCAGATCTGATCATCTCATGGGTGAATTTACGTAGTCTCTGGTTGTTGTGTAGTCCCAGGATTGCATAGCAAATAGTTGTATTGATCTCCGTTGCGTTTCAATGATCTTGATACGATCAGAGGGGGCAATTCCTGGTTCAATCCCTCTTATCAACCGCTGTACTTCACGAAATTGAGAAAAAACCCTGTCTCCCGATTTAGGCTTTTCGCCCACACGCAATCTACTCTTATTCAAGTCGTCATGCCCCTGCTTACTTGCACTTGCACCGGATATCATCAGCAGCTGTCCGAACCGGATGAGGTTCCTGGCAGAATTGTTAATTCGATACAGCAGATTTCCGTTGGTAAGTTTTGATGAGACCCATGCATATTTTGGAACTTCTTCCTGCGCCTACGCAAGTTTTAAACAAGAGTCTCTAGGGATATGTTTCGTTCAAACTCCCAGGTGCAAGAGAACGCGTTGGAGAACGGAGTAGTCACCTTGGACGAGATGCGAACAGGGGACGAAGCACGAGGGACAGGTCAGTACGATGGTTTCTTGCTCGTTTCAGGGGTGGACGGAAGAAGATTTCACCTGATTCGCAAGGTGACAAAAAGATTCCGCTATGTTGTCACAAGACGTTGGGGGAATCGGGTGACCGAATCTAATGTACATAGTAGCGTTCAGTGTTCGTGACTAATGCAGCTATCTCGTTGGGCGGGGAATAGAGCAGCTGTTGTTCTGCATCCGTTTTTTAACTGAACTTTGGATCCAGTAAGTTTTTGGGATCTCTTCCTCTAAAGTACGTTATCTTTCCACAGAGGCGACTAATATCATACTTCGCTTTGCGTCTGCAGATTTGGAGAATCTAGAGATGATAATCCTGGAAAGGGCCGTGAGGCTTTTGGAAGCGCGAGGAAAAGCTCAGATGTTCAAGGGTTCATCAGCAGATGACACGGGAGTCAAGTTCTTCATTTGAGCATGTTCATCCCGGTACTTCGTCTTTGCACAACGGAGAGACGCTCTTTGAATCTGTCAACAATCCAGAGTTGATTGTTCTGTCAATGTTTCGTGTACAGATTGTTCAAACGTTTGGCTCGCACACTTTTTGGGGTCTTGACCAATCTGAATAAGGTACGGATGATTGTGTTTGACCAATGGCTTCAAGTTCATGCATAAATTCAACCAACCGTCTCGACGGTCTAGTGCATACAAGCGCACGCGCGCTGCTGCCCCCGAGCAGCCGGCCTGATATAT